TGTCATGGCTCCGGAAGAAGATCTGTGGGCTGACATCATTCAGGGAAAATCCAAACAGGAACAAAAGAGAAAATGGGTAATTAGTGAGCCGTCTGTGACTGTAAACAGCGGTGGAAGCTTTAGATTTTACGTGATTTTGATTTAACCCACAGACTAAAGTTGCCACGCTCTGTTGGAAATAACTATGTATAAAAGTGTAATCCCTTTCTGTGGGGAAGTTTCTAAAAGACGCATTTTTATATTTAAAGGGACTGAAGCAAAAACAAAAGCCTCCATAAAAACATTAAATTGCCTTTTTTTTTATTACTTTGAGCTTATGTTTGAGAGCCAAGCAGCCAGAAATAACTGAATGTTGCTGCTGGTTGGATGGAGAGTCCGATGTCAAGAATTCTTATTAATGATTTAAAGTTGGCTTCTATTCTGTAGAATTAAATGTAAAATGTTGGAGCTTTTAATGAAGAGGCTCCATCAACCATTTTCCTGTCATCACTCAGGTCGTCCAATGAGAACCTTTTGATAATAATAATAATAATAATAATAATAATAATAATAATAATAATAATAATAATACGTTTTATTTAAAAGCGCCTTTCAGAACACCCAAGGTCACTTGACAGTCTTGATGGTCTCGTCTGTCCACCAGCAGCACCCATTGAACGGTTGAAGAGATGTTTACTTTCAAATTCATCAGGCTGGACCAAGACTTTAACGTCTTTTATGCTTTTGTTGTCACTGTGGATTATTTTACAGGTGTTTTACATCCACAGGTAGGGTTTCATTCATGATTCTTGATTTTGGCGCCACCTGTGGCGTACAGATGCCACTGTAGTTGCATATGATCACGACGATTTTGAAGAATGTTCTCCTTTTTCTTAAATGAATAAAAAATGTAAAAAGCTGCATGAGAGGCGAGTTTAAAGGAGGCAAACAAAAGCATCTTCCAAGAGCTTGGTTCCAGCAGAATGAATATTCTTTGTGTTAAGGAGCCTTGAAGCTCAGTGATAATAAGAGTTGAATAGTTGCATCATTCTTGCAACACACTTCAATTTTATGACCTTGCTCATATTTTTTAAATTCCGACACATATGCAAACACATTTGCTCTCAAAAGCTGCCTTTTCATCCAGCCCGGGCGTCCTCGTGTGTGCAAGTCCATTTAGTCTCAACTAGGCCACTGCAACACACGAGCAGTTAGTCGCACTATAAATCACTCCGGTTCCTGCCACTCCCTGAGCAGATTTCTGCTATTTCAGTCTCGAGATGCAAAGTAAAGTGAGATGTAAAAATATCTGTTAAAGAGTACGGCGTCATCACTGACTTGTGTTTTGCACACCTTTCTTCTGTGTGGGTAAGGTGGGACTGTTACCCAGGAGGAAAACAAGGTGACGCGGTGGTACGAGCAACAGAGTGTAGAGAATGAAAACTAAACACCTTTTTTTATTCCTCCTGTATCTGTTTTGCTTTATTTTCAGCTCTTCTACACATATTTGTTGTTTTGCTAATAAAGGGTGTGTGTGCGTGCGTGCGTGCGTGCGTGTGTGTGTGTGTGTGTGTGTGTGTGTGTGTGTGTGTGTGTGTGTGTGTGTGTGTGTGTGTGTGCTGATTTATTTTTAACATTTTCATCTTAAACATGAAATCCAGCTCTAGTTTTCTTTTTCCATGCAGAAAGAATAAAAAAGTCTAACATCTTATTTTAGAGAAATATATTTTTTCTATGTAAAAGAATCAATAACAGGGTTGGAAACGAGGCTAACGTGTCATTAATCATCTGAAGGATAACCTGAACTCAGTAAAAAGCCCAGCTAGTAATAAACTGCAATCTGCATCAGGATGTGCAGCACGATAATGAACAATCTAATCACCCCCGCAGATTTACACCCATTATTAGTGTGCATTTAGAAGCACCCTGACCCTCTGCATTCTGCCCACGTTCTCGCCTGGATCTCATTCTCCTCGTGCAGTAATGCTTCCAGGTCCGAACGATCTGAGTGTTGTGTTTAAAATGCTCTACAGAGCCTGGATGAAGCGTCTCCGTCTCCATGAGGCGGGCTCTCCCTAACGCTGCGTCGCTGAGTCTTAAATGATGTGGGAGATTGTTAGGCAACCGAAATTTATGTTGCGTTCTAGAACAAGTGAGTCAATTTTCTTAATGTGGAAATTGCTCGTTGTAATGGAAGTTTTATTGAACAAACTGTACGATGCACACATTCAGAGAGGGTTAAGCATGATTTGAGGAAGAGCATCTTTGCTTTGTGTTTATTTGCACGGCCCTCCTACAGGAATGAGCTCCTTATCTCTCTTCTGGCTTGAAGATCTGGAACTTATCAGACTAACTTAATAACTTAATGCTCGTTACGTAAATAAGATGATTTGTGCTGCAGGAGTCATTAACGCCAGGCCTTAAAGTTTCAGAATAAGAGCTTTTATGATTAATAACTTCAGTTATGCTACATTGCTGCTGTAAACTAGAAGGCTCAAATGGATATCCCACTCGGGGGACTGGGATTGATGTCTGTTTTGGGGCTGTTGTATTTTTATTGACTGTGCTTGCTGGCGGGCATTAGAGCTGGTGAGCCACATGCTACAAATACAGAGCATTTCATAATGATTGTTCGGGAAACGATCGTGACTGTGGTGGCATCACATCACCAGATCTTCCGTTCCTAGAAACAGATGCTCCAGGTTAGTCACGGTCACTTTATTCCCAGGTGTCGAGTATCCCTCACACACTCAACACCTGGGAATCATAAATCTAATGATCACTCTCTGTTTAATTGTTTTTAGCATTTTCTTCAACTCCCAAAAGAAATATCTGGTTTCCGATTGTTTAAGTCCCCAGTAGCTTTTTCTGGCACCAGTGTGGTCCCTGGTTGATTGGAAACAGTCGGTCTGCTGAAGACTTCACAGCTGCTGGGATTTGTTGTATTTATGTTGTATTTATTGTGAGAACAGAACAACTGAAAGCAATGAGGTAGTAAGTAGAAGTTCATTCAAGTTGCTTCTGTAAACTTCAGTAACTCGAGCTCATGAAAAAATAGGAAAAGACTCTGGGAAAATGTATTTCATCGTCCAATTTAAATGCGGGGGGGGGGGGGGGGGGGTGTCTGTAAGATCAGGGGACCCATCACCCTATAGGGGAGGTGGGCTCCCCTTAGCTCCCCGGTGATTCAAAGCCTGGCTAATGCTAACACAACCCAACTGATACTCAATGAGTCATGAAATAAAATTAGCCACACTGTTGGACAAAAAGTTATTATTATTTAATAATGAAGTAGCAACAAATCAGGCCACCATCAGTCTGTGATACTGTAGCCTCCTTTAGCGCCTTCAAATGAGTGGAGGCCGCTTCGATGTTCATCCTGGTGTCGCCTCCAAAGACGTTAGTCTTACTTTTACCTCCAGGCTCTGCCATGATGATGACAAAAAAGTTCTTCTTCTTCTTCTTCTTCTTCTGCTCCTCCTTCTCCTTCTTCTTATTGTTCTCCTTCTTCTTTTTCTTCTCCTTCTTATTGTTCTTCTTCTTCTCCCTCTCCTTCTTCTTCTTCTTCTTCTTCTTTTTCTTCTCCTTCTTCTTATTGTTCTTCTTCTCCTTCTTCTTCTTCTTCTTCTTCTTCTTCTTCTTTTTCTTCTCCTTCTTCTTATTGTTCTTCTTCTTCTTCTTCTTCTTCTTCTTCTCCCTCTCCTTCTCCTTCTTCTTCTTCTTCTTCTTCTTTTTCTTCTCCTTCTTCTTGTTGTTCTTCTTCTCCTTCTTCTTCTTCTCCCTCTCCTTCTCCTTCTTCTTCTTCTTCTTCTTCTCCTTCTTATTGTTCTTCTTCTTCTCCCTCTCCTTCTTCTTCTTCTCCTTCTTCTTATTGTTCTTCTTCTCCTTCTTCTTCTCCTTCTCCTTCTCCTTCTTCTTCTTCTTCTCCCTCTCCTTCTCCTTCTTCTTCTTCTTCTCGTTCTTCTTCTTCTTTTTCTTCTGCTCCTCCTCCTTCTTCTTCTTTTTCTTCTCCTTCTTCTTATTGTTCTTCTTCTTCTCCCTCTCCTTCTTCTTCTTCTTCTGCTCCTCCTTCTTCTTCTTCTTTTTCTTATCCTCCTCCTCCTTCTTCTTCTTCTTCTTCTTCTCCTCTTCTTCTCCTTCTCCTTCTCCTTCTTCTTCTTCTCCCTCTCCTTCTTCTTCTCCTTCTTCTTATTGTTCTTCTTCTCCTTCTTCTTCTTCTCCTTCTCCTTCTCCTTCTTCTTCTTCTCCCTCTCCTTCTCCTTCTTCTTCTTCTTCTCGTTCTTCTTCTTCTTTTTCTTCTGCTCCTCCTCCTTCTTCTTCTTTTTCTTCTCCTTCTTCTTATTGTTCTTCTTCTTCTCCCTCTCCTTCTTCTTCTTCTTCTGCTCCTCCTCCTTCTTCTTCTTTTTCTTATCCTCTTCCTCCTTCTTCTTCTTTTTCTTCTCCTTCTTCTTATTGTTCTTCTTCTTCTTCTTCTTCTTCTTCTCCTTCTTCTTCTTCTTCTTCTTCTTCTTCTTCTTCTTCTCCTCCTCCTCTTCCTCCTCCATGTTCTGTGCCAACACCGTCTAAGGCAAAGTGCCATGTGTACACGAATGAGGAACAGTGTTTAATCTTGGACTTTTATCTCATCTATATTTATATTTTAATGACATTTTTCTTTAACTTGTGTGAATGTGCTTTTATTCTTACACTGCAAGCGCACCTTCATTTTGTTGTGCAATGTTCTAAAAACTCACTTGTGTTGCTTTGAGGATTTTTAAATACAACACGGCTGTTAAACCGTTAAATGTGCGAGTGCCAAAGCTGTTTCAAACAGGTCCTTCAGGTAGCCAACGATGGCTAAGATAAAAACTATCTATGATTCTATATTTCCTACACACGATTAGAATTGCCCTTTAATGCAGAAGAGCTTATAGTGACACAGAACTTGTTTCAAGGCTCTGGAAACTGAAGGAAAGTATAAAATGTAAAACCTGCAGCATCCTTGTTGTAAGATAACGACATATCTCTGTGTCTTTACCCAGATGTGTTGGACAGCATGGCGAGGTTCAGCGTTCAGGCGGTCTTCAACTACAGCATGCTGACTCTATCAGACCACGAGAGAGTTTTGTACGTCGGAGCGCGAGAGGCCATGTTCGCCCTGGACCCCAACGACATCAGCAGGCAGCTGCGTCCACAGGTGAGACCCACATTTAAAACATCATATAAAATATAGAGGCCTGTTCTGCTTATGAGCAGGATTTTTAAAAGAAAGATTTGGGTTTTTGCTTAGAAATGGAATCACCGCCCATCAGTGTTTTTATAAAACTGCACTGAGCTAAATCACAGCATAGCTTTCTGCAGGGTTTGGGCTTTGTGAGCAACAAAAAGCATCTGTCTCACAGCTTTGCTGCACGCAGAGATAAACATTCATTCCACATTCAATTAGAACATCAGCTGGAATGAAACAGAACTCATTAAAGCATCACAAGAGTTCATCTTGGATGAGCAGCAAGGAAAATGAATCATCTCATCTTCTTTCACACTTTATTGTGCTCCCTATTAACTTTTAAAACATATTGCATCTGACGATCACAGAGCCTAGATGGCTTACTAATAACAAGCAAACTGCTAAATAAAACCATTCTTATAATGTTGTAATTAGCTAAAAAGCCTCCTGTTCCGCAGAAACAGCTTTCCGTTTTTACCCCCCCCCCACACACACACACACACACACACACACACACACACACACACACACACACACACACACACACACACACACACACACACACACACACACACACACCGTTTATCTTTTGTTATTCTGGTGATAGCATGACGCCGTCATCATGTGAAACACTTTAGCCCCTAGCTGTTTTCTTAGCTCAGGGAGGATTAGCACTTAGCAAATTTTTGCAAGTGTTTTCTACCAGATTATACCATAATACTACAGCATTAGCATTTATTAACATAATATGTGCTGACGTAAAACTTAAGGGCAGATGTTAGCAAAGACTTGGTGAAAGTGCTGATGCTGCGCATGTGTAGTTATCTGTGCTTCAATTAAGCTAGTTTTTATTAATATTTAGTGTGTGTGTGTGTGTGTGTGTGTGTGTGTGTGTGTGTGTGTGTGTGTGTGTGTGTGTGTGTGTGTGTGTGTGTGTGTGTGTGTGTGTGTGTGTGTGTGTGTGTGTGTGGTCAAGAGGCTAAATGCACAATCAAAACAATAAAAAACGACCGTAATGCTAATCACATCAGCTGCTGGTATATCAGGAGAATTTTTTTCCTGCTGATGAATTTCAGGGCAGGTGATGTTTGGCGTTAATGTCTGCAGCTACTAGCTTCAATATTTCACTTCTGTCAGCACGAAAACATCCAGCGTGAACAGAAGGGAGGCTCACATCCCGTCATCCAGGTCCTGTTTGTTAGTTTAGGATGAGATCATTCAATAGGCGTCTCTTTTTTTTTTCTTTTTTTTTGTAAACGATCGTTGTTCTTCTGTGTGTTTGTTGTGTTTCTGTAAAGCACTCTGGGGGAACCTGTTGTCTGTATTAATACCCTTGACTTGACCTGCAGCACACACGCCCACTCACACAGAGAGACGCTGAACCCTCCGAGACTCCGTCTGGCTCCGCTTTGCTCCTTCAATAATTGGTCTTTGTTGCAATCAATACAGTTACAGCGATGCAATGAAGGTGTAGTGAGCAGCCCGCAGCGGTTTGGGTGTTTCTATCCGATTTACCACTGTAATGAGAAGTTATTAGATGCACACACACGCACACACACAAACACATTGACACAAAACCTCACCACTGGCTGTTTGAGTGAGGGTTATGGGTCTTACACTAATGATAAGGCCACCTGTTGTCAGCCCTAGTGTGCAGTATAGATAAAAGGAGCAAACAGAAAAATGACTGAGCACGGGTGGGGAAATAATTCCTCTCTCATGTCATCATCTGCCCGTCATTCTCTCTCTTTCTTTTGCCTTCTTTTCTTCCTTCCACTGCTTTTCTTTAATTTCTTCTCTGCTGTCTTCCTCCTTGTTTGTCTTCATTACTTTCATCACAGTCTTCCTCCCCTGGACATTCTCCAGGGACGTTTTCCTCAGGATTTAGACTTTTTGTGCACAAGCAGCTCTCGTTTAGTCTTTGCAGAGCTCCTGTCTGAACTATTCAGCTCGGTTATTTTCCTCATGATGACGGTGGATCCGGTTTTATTGCCTGACAGTTTATTTCATTATAAAGTTGCAACTGATGACAAATGATATTTGATCCAAATGCATCCATGTGTTTTTATTCCAGGAAGTTCAGCTCGTGCTCTGAGTAAACTTGCCAATCAGATTTCTGTTTTTATACAAATGCTAATGGCTTGTCGCTAGCCTGTATTGTTTGTGCTGATGCAGTAGGAGATAAAACACCGGAGATTTGTGCTGGCCTTTCCAAATGCTGAAAGCATGCATCCATTACTAAAACACACATTTGCATTTGAAGTAGTTTTACCTGGATGGCAGGTACGCCGAGGTGTCTGTAAACACCCTGATGTGATGAGAGCCGAGCTGCCTAAAAAGCGGCTGCTGCTATTTGTTTCTTAAATGTGCAGAAATGAGATGCACAGCAGCTGATGTTTGTTGTGGAAGATGTCTTTGTAGGGCATAGGTGATCAACACTCAGAGATCCTCTTACACCATGACTGTCAAAACCACCTGGTATTAAGTTTAGCTCTGCGCCTGGTGTGTGTGTGGATAAAGAGAAGAGGGATCTTTAAGTGATCCATTAAAATAAGCAGGGGAACAAAATTAGGAGTAAAAATAAGTGCTTGATTCTAGCCAGCCCTTCGTTAAAAGCACAGAACCTACAGGTGATATTTCACAGCCGCTGATCTTAATGACTCATTTAGATATTAACTCTGATGAGTATGCCTCCGATATGAGAGCAACTCTCTGAAATTAGATGAGTTCAGAAGGAATTCAGTTCATTTGTCTGCAGCTCAGACCGACATGGACCCGGGTAGGTGGCCACACCTGACTTCTAATCCTGTATTTACCAGGAACATTGCCATCCAACACAAACTAGATGCGACGCATCATAGTGTATAGGTAGTGCTATTGTTAAAGAGATATTCCACTCCAAAGTGAAATTTCTCTGTTGCTATATCCCCAGAGTCAGATAAGTGAGGAAAAGCATTTAAAGTTTAAGTCCCATAAGTCATCACACACTGGTGAAATTACATCTCCCGTTTGTCCCATCCCTGTGGGGAGCGGTGAGCTGCTGGTGTAGGTGCGCTCAGGAAGTAGCGGGTGGTTTAACCCCCCAATCCAACCCCTTAAAGCTGAGTGTCAAGCAGGGAGGCATTGGATCTGACTTTGGCATGATTTGAACCCTGATCTCCCAGGGCTGAAACTACCACTAGACCACTGAGAAGGTCATTTGAAAGCAGCCCAGTCATTCTGCTAATCTGGCAGCATTATAGGGGCTTCACATCTGGTAGCGCTTGGCCCAGTCCGCATTGCATATGTTGTTTTCATACCTGGGTGGCCTGGTGCTTTCCCTATCCTACCGGGCGGTTTTTCAGCCCTTATGCTCTGGTGGTTTGCTCAGGACTGGTCCTGGCCAGCACACCCACTACGACTGATTGGCTGGCTCAAATGCACGCCTACCATCAGGGAGAGCTTCCGATTGGTGGATAGAATCAATCAGCAGGGGCTTCCCGCATGCGTGATTCATTTTCATTCTGGATACGGAGACGTAAACGTGCCTCTGACCGAAGCTGCAGCAGCTCTCTCTTTGTCACTGCTGTGAGGAGTGCACACACACACACACACACACACACACACACACACACACACACACACACACACACACACACACACACACACACACACACACACACACACACACACACACACATGACCGTCTTTGCTCAAGGGACACACTACAGACCTTTCCACACATCCTTTGCCCCGCCCATATGCTCTGAGATTTCCCCGTTCCTGATAAGTGTGTGTGTGTGAACAGACCCTGCCCATGCGGGAGCCCAGTCTGTGCTGGTCCAGATGGGAAACTGCCATTACGTTTGCTTTGGTTGGTAAGAACTGGCCGACTGACCAAAGGTAGTCCCGCAACGGGGTATCTGGCAGTTGTTATTTATGGAACCTCTGGTGACTCTGTTGCTGTAGACTGCTAGAGATTTCAAGACCCAAAAATCAGTACTTTTAGAGGATATTGCAATGATGGCAGCGGACTGGCTTTTTGTCCATATTTTTTATCACTAGACGATACAGCTGCAGGTTCGACTCTCCTCGAAAGGCTCTTCACAAGCTCCTGGAGTGCTTGTGTGGGAATGTGTTCCCACTGATGCTGTAGAGCACTTATGAGGTCAATCACTGATGTTATAGAAGTTCTCACAGTCTCTTGATAAGGCTGGGGTCAAGGTTCTGCGTAGGCCAGTCACATTCATATATCCATGTCCTCCAGGTACTTTCTCTGTGAACATGTTGGAAAAATGTTGCCCTAAAACCATCTCCCCTCCGACACCAAATCTCAAAGACTGCTCAGAGCAGTAACGTTCTCCAGCCCCCGCCAAGCATGCATCCACTGTCTCACGGTGTTGGTGAACATTACACCACTCCACCCTAGCCTGGACCGGGTAGTGTGAGAAAGCATGCAGCTGTGCAACAATAGAAGTCTACTCCATAAACCTCCTGCCACATCAATGCCACTGGAGGTCCTGAACTCCTCAGCTCTGGAGTCTGCAGGGCTTAGCAGACTTTTTATGCAGCAATGCAGCACAGCGGTCTTTGACTCTGTTATTTTTTTAGTTACAGTTACCCCTAAATTATTCCAATTTTCATAATATCACTTACACAAACGAAATTTCCCTAAACACCCCATTGCAAAGGTGCCACATTAACACTCCAACACATTTGATGTCACTGTGCACAGACTGCATGGCTGGGTGCTTGATTTAATACATCTGTGGCACACGAGCAGACCTAAGCATCTGAATTTCACAGAGACAAGGTGTGACCTAGTACTTTTGTTCCTGTAGTGGAGCTTATACCGACAGTCCCTCTGGAAACCAGCCTTGTCTATGTTTGATTTTTATTTATATCAGAATCACCATAGTTGTGCCGTTTAATCTATTATGTTAAAGCACTGATTGTCTAACAGCGTATTACACTACAGCAGTTGTTTGTTTGATTGCAGTTGGTTAACAACCAGTAGAAGTAAAGTTGGGCTGTGTAGCAGCCCTCTGCCTGTAATGGCCAACCTAATTATTTCTAATGGTGTGGAAACATCTAAGGGAACACAGTGGATTGTCTTGGACCTGTATTCATGGAGCAAAGTTCAGCCGTGTGTTACTGAGGCTTTGTAACGCAAAAAAGAGAATGCATCAATGACCTTTCCCTCTAGACATTTCATTTGGATACACTCTTCTGAGTCGAGTCCGTCTTTAAGGCTGAAGACGTGGTGCTGTCATATCATCAGCTCTGTCTCCTCAGTGGGGCTCTCGGACCGTCCATCCCACTACTGGCAGCGGGTTTAATGGATCCAATATAGGAACAAACACAGACGGATAATAAGTCTGGGAAGCCACAAGCTGCATTCTTGCGTCACCTGAGCGCCTCGGGCTGTGTGTGTGTCTGCAGCGTGTCTCTCTGAAACTACCCTTGTTCATAATAGTGGATCTAATGTATGTAGGGTACATTTATGCTTATGAGAAAACGAAAGAGGGAAAATACCATCACTACGATGACTGGTTCTGTGCTTGTTGCCATAGTTACGGCAACTAGTGGTCGGTAAAGCAGAGTATTAGCTGATCAACAAGACAGGTGATTTTCTGTTCTTCTTTTCTCTTTTTTTTATTGTCAACAGAAACCAAATGATGTTGCTTTCCTGCACTAAACACAGCAAAAGAACCCTTTCGTATGAAATGCATCACGTTTGTCTCCGTCTTCCCCCAGATCGACTGGCCAGCCCCCCAGGATAAGAAGAGGGAATGTGTGGCCAAGGGGAAGAACAACCAGGTATATCTCAGCCTTCAGAGTCACAAGCAGTCTGGTTGCGGCTTTTAAACAATAGCTGGTACTGTAAGAGCCGCATCTCTTAGTTCACTCAATTACCTTTTGTTAGAGTGTCTGGGGTTCGTATCTGGAAGGCTTCCAGCCATTACATTAACACACGGAGAAGTGCATCATCCAGACAGGGTCAGAATCAGCAGCTTTTAGAGGCAGAGTGCATTACATCACTTCCTCCTTCCTCGCAAAGCCCCGCCCTTGTTAAGGGAGAACTTAAACTCTAATGTAAGACCTGAGAACTGTTGAAACCAAAGGTGTAATTATATGACGCGGTATGGGGGCCAAAATTAAGACTACTGCCCAGCAGCAGGAGGCTATATAAATTCTGAAGCAAACTACTGACCTGATTAATGATAAGCTGGCGCCGGTAACTGAGAGGCTGGCGCTGCTTACTGAGAAATGGCACCTTTACCAGCCTTACTACTAGATACGCTAGGGACTAGCAGCCCTCGGCTGGTCATTGACTGGTTCACATACTCCCTCTGCTGTCTATTAGCATGGATAGGCTAGCGTTAGCCTGGACTGGCTGGTGTTAGCATTGGAGAGGCTAGCCATTAGCGTGCCTAAGCTGCTCACTAGCTGGATTTCCTACCACCTTGACGGACCATTAGCATGGATAGGCTGGCGTTAGCATCGGAGAGGCTAGCCATTAGCGTGTCTAGGCTGGCCACTAGCTGACTAGTGACTCTCCGAGACATGCTAATGGCTAGCCTCTCCGATGCTATTGCCAGCCTATCCATGCTTACAGTCCGTCAAGGGGGTAGGAAATCCAGCTAGTGGCCAGCCTAGGCACGCTAATGGCTAGCCTCTCCAGTGCTAACACCAGCCCGTCCAGGCTAACGCTAGCCTATCCGTGCTAATAGACAGCAGAGGGAGTGTGTGAACCAGTCAATGACCAGCCAAGGGCTGCTAGTCCCTAGCGTATCTTGTAGTAACGCCGGTAAAGGTGCTATTTCTCAGTAAGCAGCGCCAGCCTCTCAGTTACCGGCGCCAGCTTATCATTAATCAGGTCGGTAGTTAGCTTCAGAATATATATAGCCTCCTGCTGCTGGGCAGTAGTCTTAATTTTGGCCCCCATACCGCGTCATATAATTAAGCCTAAAAGATGCTGTGTCAGGGTTCTTAAAGGGTCATATTCTTTGTTTTTGTTTTCCCAAAAGACCGTCAGGTCATTACAGGAGAGATTGATGGCACAGCTTTGATGAGTTTACCCAATTGCTTTGCTTTCTTTTCCCTTCAAATGTGTAGGTGAAAGAGTTTTAAGGAAAAACACTAAAAGAAAGGATTGTTTTGTCGATTTATTTGGTAAATACAGCATAAGTAAATACATTTATGCTACATGGCATTCCTGCTAGGGATCTTCCAATCACATTTTTTTCTCCTGCTTTTTTATCTGCTGATAATAATTCCCGTTCTGATACTTCAGGAATACATTAAAATAATAAGACATCAAAGTGGTCCTTTTAAGTATTTTTATTATATTTTTGTGTTTCTTTCTTTCTGACTTTATGTGTATTAGCCAAAAATCTGTTTTCCGTGTTTTTATCTGAGTTGCTGCAGCGAACTGGGAGTATTGGTTTCAAACTAACAGTGACAGGTGGTTCGTTGCGGCGCCTACATCTAAAGGGAAAAGCTAGGAAAATGTTTGTTTTGAAGGTGGCAAATTAGATTTGTGGTGCTGAACGCAGCTCTACCTTTTCCACCACATTAAATTCCCAGCATGCACACATTACAAGTGTGTTTTACATCCTTCACTGTCCAGTTAAAAATGCATCCAAACTGCAGACTTTTCCTCTCTCCTGAGAAAACACATTAGCCCCGCATTGGCCTGCTAGCTAACAGCTGCATATCGTGATGTCTGAATCCCCGCCTGCCTCAGAAACGTGTTGAAATTAAAAATGAGCCATTGTTATTCCATTTAAAAATCCCTTTCTCATGATGAATTTAAAAAGTCTTGTTGGTTGTTTTATAAGGTTAAATCTGATCTTTTCCACCCGTTCCGATTCCTTTGAAAATCCCGTGATTGGATCGGAGCGTCCCTAGTTCATACGCCTAAACGTGCTTATTTTCTGCTTCTGTTGGTCAAATTTGGCAAATTTATTTTGCGTACAGTACACTTGGCAGGTTTTGTTTGCTGCAGTGAAAAGCATCACCGTCTCATCATCCAGATGTGTTGCTCCAGTTCGTTTTGTTCTGTCTTAAACGTCAAACTACATTTTACAGGCTTGCTTCCAAAATAATCCAACGCGAGGGAGGGTTTAGTAGCACTTACGTATAATTCATCATCGTGGTTTTGTAGCCAAAACACACATTAACCCACAGGTGTAACAAACTCAAAGTTTATTTCCTCCCAAATCTCACCATCTGTTGTGGTGCATCAGCAGACAGTCAGCTGACCCCAGCCAGCTCTCCCGTCTGCTTAGCCTGCATGTTGTCCATGTGCTAGCTGTGGGGGTAAATATATTATAGAAGCTTGCAGAGCTTTAGCAAGCAGCTCTAAATGCACAACAGTAACTTTTGATGTGGTCTGCAGCAAGAGGAGGAAAGGTTCCTTGGACTGCAGTGGCTGCAGCTCTTTGAAACTGACTCCAAGTAGAATAAAAAATGCATGCCGTGAAGTAAGTTTAAGCGGAGCTTTAAAAACACTGCGGTTGTTTTGAATAGTCATTAAACGATTCTGAAAATCGGCATCTTCTGTTCTTTCGTGGTGTAGTTTTAGACGTCCAGTACGACAGGCTGTGCTCTGTAGCTGCACAAATGTTCTGCTTTTCTTTCTAGCTAATTCATACTTCACATACATTTTAGTCAGATTGGAGGAAAATGCAGCAATTGCCACCAAGTGTCTGCTGCAACAGCAATATTTACTGGTGTTTCTAGGTAATGGTAAACTGTCTGCCCTGCTGTTGCAAAGGCAATATTAACTAATTGATCTGAATAATTAATTCCACTAGTGCGCATCATGTCTGAGCATCTGTTCCCATTTCCTCTCAAAGAGCTTCGTTCTTCGTGGCAGTGCAGACAATAAAGGGCACTTCTCATGAAGTGCTGCATAAGTTATTCTGTTTATTCTCTGGACCTGTCTGTCATTTTCGTCTTCACTTTAGATTATTCAGATAATTTGTCACGGCGTTGTCTGTTAAGTGATGCAATCAATGGCTGCTGAACGCCCGCCCCAGTTTTGTTGCATTTCATCTGAATAAATGAGATTTTTACACTTTCTAATGCAAAGATTTGAACAGCAAATGGTGTTTTGTGGTTTAAAACCAGTGTAGAGCTTTATGTCAGCAGAGGGAGTTAGATCCTTTAAAGTGGACAGAACCGCTCTAACAGTTCCTCCTCATACCTTCACAGACCGAGTGCTTCAACTATATTCGGTTCCTGCAGAGCTACAACCACACACACCTGTACACCTGTGGCACCTACGCCTTCCAGCCCAAATGCACGTACATTGTAAGTATTGAGGTGCACGTGTTGCATGAATGTGTTGTTCTGGATGGAGCCACGGCAAGCAGGTGTCAGCTTGGCACTTCTGACCTGGAGCTAAAACCGCTGTGTGACAAAATGGAAATAAATGCAATAGAAACTAGCACGTAGGGTTAGCTGAACGTGTGTGTGTGTGCATGCATGCTTGTGTGTTTGTGCATTTATGTTGAGCAGATGTGAGAGGACAGTGTGGTGAGGGGGGTTTTGCATTGAATGGACAGCAGGCAGCTTTACCATGTAGGTCACAGTACAACCCGACCGTGAAACACGTGTTTCTCATTTCTGGTGAACTGGTGTGTTCTTGCAGAAAGCAGACGACTTTACCCTCAGCCCAGCAGTTTTGGAAGATGGGAAAGGCAAATGTCCCTACGACCCTGCCAAGGGGCACACAGGTCTCATAGTGGGTAAGTGTTGATGCTCACACAACCGTGCAAAAGATTAGAGCCAGCACCGTGTAAACTGCATTGCTAAAAAGCCTAACTTTAGGTTTATACAGGTTTTTTTGGTGTTTTATGAACCAAACCATTTGACTTCAGAAGAGCCGGTGTTTTGTTTGCAAAAATAAACGTGTCAGAGGCTGAATCAGTGTCCATTTATAGCTTAGCAAATCACAGAAACACATTTGTCTCTTTGTTTTGTTGCAAATATTTTTAAAGTGAGATTAACCTCTTCGTCTTCGTCTTCGTCTTCGTCTTCCTCCGCTTATCCGGGTCCGGGTCGCGGGGGCAGCATCCCAATTAGGGAGCTCCAGGCCGTCCTCTCCCCGGCCTTGTCCACCAGCTCCTCCGGCAGGACCCCAAGGCGTTCCCGGACCAGATTGGAGATGTAACCTCTCCAACGTGTCCTGGGTCGACCCGGGGGCCTTCTGCCGGCAGGACATGCCCGAAACACCTCCCCGGGGAGGCGTCCAGGAGGCATCCTGACCAGATGCCCAAACCACCTCAACTGGCTCCTTTCGATCCGGAGGAGCAGCGGTTCTACTCCGAGTCCCTCCCGAATGTCCGAGCTCCTCACCCTATCTCTAAGGCTGAGCCCGGCCACCCTACGGAGGAAACTCATTTCGGCCGCTTGTATCCGCGATCTCGTTCTTTCGGTCATTACCCAAAGCTCATGACCATAGGTGAGGATTGGGACGTAGATCGACCGGTAAATCGAGAGCCTGGCTTTCTGGCTCAGCTCCCTCTTCCCCACGACAGATCGGCTCAGCGTCCGCATCACTGCAGAAGCCGAACCAATCCGCCTGTCGATCTCCCGATCCCTCCTACCCTCACTCGTGAACAAGACCCCGAGATACTTAAACTCCTCCACTTGAGGTAGGACCTCTCCCCCGACCTGGAGGTGGCAAGCCACCCTTTTCCGGTCGAGAACCATGGTCTCAGATTTGGAGGTGCTGATCCTCATCCCAGCCGCTTCACATTCGGCCGCGAACCTACCCAGCAAGAGCTGAAGGTCAGAGCTGGATGAAGCTAGGAGGACCACATCATCCGCAAAAAGCAGAGACGAGATTCTCCTGCCACCAAACTCGACACACTCCACACCACGGCTGCGTCTAGAAATTCTGTCCATAAAAGTGATGAACAGAACCGGTGACAAAGGGCAGCCCTGGCGGAGTCCAACCCTCACGGGGAACAGGTCCGACTTACTACCGGCTATGCGGACCAAACTCACGCTCCTCTGGTAAAGGGACTGAATGGCCCTTAACAGAAAGCCACCCACCCCATACTCCTGGAGCGTCCCCCACAGGGTGCCCCTAGGAACACGGTCATAAGCCTTCTCCAAATCCACAAAGCACATGTGGATTGGTTGGGCAAACTCCCATGTCCCCTCCATCACCCTTGCAAGGGTATAGAGCTGGTCCACAGTTCCACGGCCAGGACGAAAACCACATTGCTCCTCCTCTATCTGAGATTCAACTATCGATCGGACCCTCCTCTCCAGTACCTTGGCGTAGACCTTTCCAGGGAGGCTGAGGAGTGTGATCCCCCTATAGTTGGAACACACCCTCAGGTCACCCTTCTTAAAGATGGGGACCACCACCCCGGTCTGCCACTCCCTAGGAACTGCCCCCGATGACCACGCAATGTTGTAGAGACGTGTCAACCATGACAGCCCTACAACATCCATAGCCTTGAGATACCCAGGACGAACCTCATCCGCCCCCGGGGCTCCGCCGCTGTGTAGTTGTTTGACTACCTCAGCAACTTCTGCCCCCGAGATCGGACAGTCCATCCCCAGGCCTCCCAGCTCTGGTTCCTCCTCGGAATGCGCATTGGTGGGATTGAGGAGCTCCTCAAAGTATTCCTTCCACCGTCCGACTATAGCCTCAGTTGACGTCAGCAGCTCCCCATCCCCACTGTAAACAGTGTGAGCGAGTTGCTGCCTTCCTCTCCTGAGGCGCCGGACAGTTTGCCAGAACCTCTTTGGAGCCGATCGATAGTCTTTCTCCATGGCCTCACCAAACTCCTCCCACGCCCAAGATTTTGCCTCGGCAACTGCCACTGCTGCACCCCGCTTGGCTATCCGGTACCTGTCTGCTGCCTCCGGAGACCCACAGACCAGCCACGCCCTGTAGGCCTCCTTCTTCAGCCTGACGGCTCCCCGAACCTCTGGTGTCCACCAGCGGGTACGGGGGTTGCCACCACGACTGGCACCGGCCACCTTACGACCACAGCTAGCAACAGCCGCCTCAACAATCGCAGAGTGGAACAAGGCCCACTCGGACTCAATGTCCCCCACTGCTCTCGGGACGTGGTCAAAGCTCTGCCGGAGGTGGGAGTTGAAGACCGTCTTGACAGGTTCTTCTGCCAGGCGTTCCCAGCAGACCCTCACTATGCGTTTGGGTCTGCCAGGTCTACGCGGCATGTTCCCTTGCCATCTGATCCAACTCACCACCAGGTGGTGATCAGTTGACAGCTCCGCCCCTCTCTTCACTCGGGTGTCCAAAACATACGGCCGCAGGTCAGATGATACGACTACAAAATCTATCATCAACCTGTGACCTAGGCTGCCCTGGTACCAAGTGTACCGGTGGGCATCCTTATGTTCGAACATGGTGTTCGTTATGGCCAAACTGCGGCTTGCACAGAAGTCCAATAACAAAACACCGCTCGAGTTCAGATTAGGTGGGCCGTTCCTCCCAATCACACCCCTCCAGGTCAAGCTGTCATTGCCCACGTGAGCATTGAAGTCCCCCAGCAGGACAATGGAGTCCCCTGATGGAGCACTATCTAGCACTCGTCCCAGGGACTCCAAAAAGGGTGGGTACTCTGAACTGATATTTGGCCCATAAGCACAAACAACAGTCAGGACCCGTTCCCCGACCCGAAGGCGCAAGGAAGCTACCCTCTTGTCCCCCGGGGTAAACCCCAACACACAGGCAGAGAGTCTCGGGGCTAACAAAAAGCCAACCCCAGCCCTCCGCCTCTCACCCGGAGCAACTCCAGCAAAGTAGAGTGTCCAACCCCTCTCCAGGTCTCGGGTTCCAGAGCCAATGCAATGTGTCGAGGTGAGTCCGACTATATCTAGCTGGTACCGTTCAACCTCTAACACAAGCTCCGGCTCCTTCCCCGCCAGCGAGGTGACGTTCCATGTCCCAAAAACTAGTTTTCTTGTCCGGGAATTGGACCGCCAAGGCTCCCGCCTTGGTCTGCCACCCGATTCGCATTGCACCGGACCCTTCATGTTCCTCCTGCGGGTGGTGGGTCCACAGTTGGACGAGCCCATGTATCCGGTTCGGGCTGGGCCCAGCCGGGCCCCATGGGCGAAATCCCGGCCACCAGGCGCTCGCTCACGGGCCCCACCCCCAGGCCTGGCTCCAGGGTGGGACCCCGGTAACCCTCCGGGCCGGGTACTCCGACTCTTCGTTTTAACCGCCATGAAAGATCCTTCGAACCGTTCTTTGTCTCACCCTTCACCTAAGACCAATTTGTCATGGGAGACCCTACCAGGGGCACTAAGTGCCCCAGCAAACATAGCTCCTAGGATCATTAGGGCACTCAAACTCCTCCACCACGATAAGGTGACGGTTCAAGGAGGAGATTAACCTGCAAAATCTAATCCTAAAAATATGAATAAATCTAAGACATAAAACTATGACATAATAATTGAGATTTTATTCAGGAGTAGTTTGAAATATTACAAGAATATCTGAGTCCTCGAAGTTTAGGTATAAAAAAACACATCAGGAGTTACTTTATAATTTTGCTGTTTGTTTAATTAATTTTTTTTATGGTAATTCTGTCCTAGAAATAATGAAGAACGTGTGTTTTTATGCATTAATTATCAAAAAAAATCAAATAAGCACAAAATTTCCTCAGAACTGCAAATCCTCATCAGTTTTGTAGCAGCCAGAGTCCAGAGGTCCGATCTAACTTCCCCTGCAGAACTGTGGACGGCCTTATGGAGCCGTTTTATGTCTTCCCACTGAACGGCTCGCCTTCTCTCATTGTACGTTTCCACAACCGTGTCTGTGAAACATGAATTATTTTAAAGCTTGCCTTTTTCTGCAGATAAAGAGCTGTACTCAGCAACGCTCAACAACTTCCTGGGTACAGAGCCAGTCATCCTTAGGAACCTGGGCCAGCAGCACTACAGCATGAAGAGCGAGTACTTGCCCGCCTGGCTCAATGGTAAGAGAGAATAAAGGACACGAGAATAGAAAATGAAGTTGTAAGCCTGTATGGAGAAAAAAGAGTTGGCTAGATGTGGAAGAAATTAGGTGTAAGCGTTTTATAATGTAAGGGAATCCAGCCGTGTGGACGGTGTCTCTGCTTTCATCGCTGCAGACGTCCACAAGTACTCAGTCAAAAGGAAAAGCTCATAGTACTCTTTACACAAATAACCCAACTTATTCTAAATGACCTTTTATTGTTTTCATACTCGTGCTCACTCCAGTCGTATATTTGTAGTTATATAAAGTACACTGACGTGAGATTACGCTGCGCCGGTAATCTCCGCCTCTTATCTGCTTCTGACAACTTAATCTTTTTGACTCTCGTGTCGTGGAAGAGTAATGATGCAAAAAGGCCTGAAATATGAATTCGTAGTTTAGATGATGTTGAAAGAGTGATCAAAATGGCACATCCCAACCTTCACCTGCGTTGTTTCCTACACGTTCCACTCTGGAGACTTTTATGTTATTATTTATATTATATAATTGTTTTTTTTTTGTTTTGTTTTGTTTGGATTTTCTGTTATTTTCTTATTATATTTAAATAAACCCCGCAAGACCTTGATTTGGTAAATATTGCACAAAGTATGGCTAATTTTGTAGAATTTGTGGTCTGTGCTTGCATTTTATGTTGTTTTTCTGAGGGTTACGGGTTCGTTGCAGCAGTAACAGGTGCTGAGCTGGTCCACAGCTGTAGTTAAAGCCAGAATCTCACATTTAAAAGAGAGTCTCCAAAATGTGTCCAAATGTTTGCTAGGATCATGGGTTTCTGTAGAAAACAGCTTTTAGAGTGGTTGCAGCCAGACTCTGGATCAAATCAAAATGATAAAAACACTTAAAATCTAAACTGCAAAAATAAAAAAATGCACAGCTGTCACAATTATTCTGCTATTTCTTCGTTCTGCCAATTATGACCCAAACATGCATCAAATGTCAGCAACATTTTGCACATATTACGTCAGTGTTATTCGTGTTTTATTGCAACAGTTTTGCTACCAGCCTGTGTGCTAGCTAATGCTAGTCTTGTGTTCTGCTTGTAACGAGATGACGAACAAAGATGATCAGCATCACTGCTAATTTTAATGTGGTGCAACAGAAGGAATCCAGTAGAGCTGAGTTTTGCATTTCAGTTTGTTAGTTTAGTTGGTTTGACTTTTGTTCACCATAATGATGCGATTAACTAACTGTCAAGTTTTGATCCCAGTTTCAACAAAGCAAAGTTGCAGGGGATGATTTGTTATCTTTAGGGGGAGGGGGGGGGGTGAGCCACTTGGAAGAAATGCAGGGGAGAGAAGAGGATGAAGTCACAGCAGGAAAAATGGGTGATGAAAGACCAGACATTAGGACTGGCGATGAAAAGATAGGAGGAGAGGTGAGGGGAATAGAAAGAGGGACAGGAAGCAGGAGGAGCATACAGATGAGGTCGGGGTTTAGACTGTTTATTATTCATGCAGATACAGCGCTGCTGTTTAAACCACACCTGCAACGAAGCTGCCCTCACCTCCATCCAAGCAGTTTCTGACCAGACTAAAAGCTTTCGGAGGAGGGTCATGGCATCCAGCGATGGCTTTAAGTGCTGATGCTTTTATGTTGAAAAGACCAGTGGGAGCCAGTAAATTCATGAGATTTAAAATAAAAAAAAAACTTTGCATAAAGATGAATTTAAAGCCCACAGCAGCGCAAGTTTCAAACAGTTTGACTGGCTTTGAAAAAGATGTATGTAAATCCTAATGAGGCACGGATAGAGAGAGAGAGATTTAGAAGAAGACAGCTGTGACTGCGGAAATGAGAAAGACAGAATGGATCGATATTAGTGAGCAGTGGAGAGAAAGAAGGTGATAAAGAGATGGAGCGAGGGCCAATGATTAAAGCAAACAGACAAAGAGGTGAGAAAGTGTGTGTGTGCGTGCACGTGCGTGTGTGTGTGTGTGTGTGTGTGTGTGTGTGTGCGTGTGTGTGTGTGTGTGTGTGTGTGTGTGTGTGTGTGTGTGTGTGTGAGTGAGTGAGTGATTCAGTCCTGTGGGTTGAGACTGTGTCTTTGTTCACTAGTGGTCTGTCTGAACTACTTTGTGAAAATACACCTTTGGATTTACGTGCGTGCGTGTGTGTGTGTGTGTGTGTGTGTGTGTGTGTGTGTGTGTGTGTGTGTGTGTGCGTGCGTGCGTGCGTGCGTGCGTGCGTGCGTGCGTGTGTGTGTGTGTGTGTGTGTGTGTGTGTGTGTGTGTGCGTGCGTGTCTGTGTGTGCAGAGCCGGCCTTTGTGGGTTCAGCCCTGGTGAGGGAGAGCAGCGGCAGCAAAGACGGAGATGATGATAAGATCTACTTCTTCTTCAGCGAGCGAGCTCTGGAGCTGGACTGTGACACGGAGCTGACGGTGGCCCGAGTGGCCCGCGTCTGCAAGGTAACAAAATGGCCGACATTTAAAACAGATCCCAGAACACATTTTAATCAGCAGCCTCCCAGAACCACCCCGGCCTTGCTTCCCGTGCTGCACACATGCTCCAGGATGTTAACAACAGAAGCACACGTCCAAACTGTGATCAGTCTTCACATTAACATATGAGCACAATGACAGATTTGACAATAAAATCCTGGTTTTGTGCACACTTGGCAGGAAATCAGCTGTTTTCGGTTTTCTCCAGCTGTGCTGGCAGCTGGCAGCTGCTTTCGAGAACCTAATAACACGAGACAACACTTGCTAACAGTTTCAGGCTTCATCAGGTGGCGCCTACAAAAGAAATCAACCAGTAAGCATTTTGCAGCTGGATGAGCAAAATCTGGACTCTGTTATTCACAAAGGGAAAATCCTGATGTGTTTTGGAAAGTAGACGTGTTCAGGAAAGATCTAACAAGCTGCAGCTACAGAGAACACAGCTTTGTTGCATATGTCCACATGCAGAGATGAGGATAAAAACCCCCGTTAGTATTTTTTACCCCTAAAAGAACCAAGAGACCAAAAACCAGAACGGAAGAGCGAGAAATCAGCAGCACCACGAGCAGCTCTCTGCCTGTGTGCCCACATTGTTTAATGGAGACAATTACAGTGACATGGAAATATCTGGTAATTAATAATTAATTTGTTAAATAAATGGCCTCATTAGGACAACTGATTAGGTCTGATGTGGCGCAGTTGTTCTGGCCACACATCAGAAGATGCTAAATGCTCTGATCTGTCCTTTTCTGCCTGCATCGTGATGGGCAGGGAAACTGAGTTGTTTCATAAACAGATGTTCACACACACACAGTGTCACCTAATAATTTAGCTTATATTGCTGTGGCAGTGTCAGAGCTGTTTCTGACTGCTGTGATGTGACCGTTTTCACTTTTCACTGCTTCTGCAGTCGTCGAGTATAATGGGACTCAGAAGAATCCGACAAACATGTCAGGAGAATCTAAAAAGGCACCATTTGTCTACATATTTATTTTACAAGTTAACACATTATTTTTCCTTTTTGTTTTTTATTTTGAACTTGAACATCTCTGGCTCCTTAAAGCATCTTGCTAATTTAAGGCAGCCGAGTAAGTAAGGGCACACTGAATTGATTTACTACTAAACACAAAGTGTAAGGGTGATTATATTTTTCATTTGTAGGGTGAAGGTGAGGCTAATGAAATGCAGAACCACGGGGGGGGGGGGGGGGGGGGGGGGGGACCTAAAAGATTGAGCATCTGAGTTAAAAGCAACCGTTTTTAGACCTGGTTCAACATGAACTAAAACAATGAATCTGCTATAGCTGAAACAGAAGCAAAAAAACAGAGCCATAAAATGTAAAAACAAGATGAAGCTAATTATTGTCCCACTTCTTGAGTCAGTCCAACATGTTGCTGAGTACTACTCAGGTCCAGATCCTGGTTTATACACCATACAGTTGTTTACTTTTTTTTGTTTGTTTGTTTAATATGATCAGTCTCTGAGCTTAACAGGAAAGTTGTCCTCCACCCCTATTTCCTGCATTAGATAGAAAATAGACGAGGAAATGCCTGGATGACAAAAAGCCAGTCGAAAATTACACACTGAAAATTAGCATTCACTCATCCATCTTGACTCAAGACGAGGGCGGTTGTTGTTTGTTTAGCGTCCAGGAGAAAATAGAGCATTTTTCTGCTAGAAGAAGCTAACAGTTAGCATTAGCAACCGCACCACACAGCAGAACTCCACCAGACACGTGTTCTTTGTGGAGGTAAAATATCAAAGTTGCAGGGCAAACAGCCAGCGGTAGAGTTGCTGATAGCCAATCAGAGGAGAGGTGTACAAATATCATGAATAATAATGAGTAAGACTCCAAATCCATTCATTTCTCCACCCCCAACTTCTCCAGCCAACTTCTACTTCTACAGGAGCATGAGAGCTTTTTTTTCCACAGAGAATGACTCACTAGGCATTCATTTATACCAGAGACCACAGCAGATTTGCTGAAATAGTGAGTGGATGAGAGCTTGAGGTAAAGATAAGATAAATCAATCAGATCTTGTCTGCTCTCTCAGGGGGATTTGGGTGGTACCAGGACCCTTCAGAAGAAATGGACCACCTTTCAGAAAGCACGCCTGGAATGTTCCCTCCCAGAGCGCCACGTCTCCTTCAACAACGTGCGGGCCATCTTCACACTGCCGGGGCAGGACTGGCGGGGGACCACCTTCTATGGCATCTTCCATGCTCAGTGGTAAGTATGACCAAGGCTGTGAAGAGGGTCTGGAGATGTATGACGCCATTTCTCATACCAGTTTAAGTAAATTACCACGTTAGCTTAATGCTGTCGCTTGGCAGCATGTCAGCGTCTGGAGTCACTTAATGAAATCACTGCCAGTCACTCTGATGTCTCCAGTGATGTACTTTGCCTGATTACTGCTTAACGGGGATCTATGGTTTTATTCTGACACAAAAGTTACAGTGAAGCTGTTCGTTATAGAAAATCCGAATTTACAACCTGTGAAGCAATGATCAGCAACTACTGAGCTAGTGTCAGGGTTTGAGTGGCGTCAAACGATCCTGTAATTCAGGAGTCATGACCACCGTTGGACGTGTTCATCCAGCCTTTTATAAAGGTTCTGAGATTTGGAGAACTTAGAGGCCAAAGCTCCTCTGACACACCGGCTCCCCTGACATGACCAAGACAATGGTCCCATCTCTGAGCAGTCTGGTTGTTCACAAATGAGCCAGAAGAGCGGGCCAAGTCTGGTGACAATGGGAGCTTACACACATGAACCTGGCAGTACAGCAAACACTACTCAAAGCAGAAATCTGGAGGGTTTTTTATCCGATGGCACCATCTAAAGGCTGAAAACTGTATTGCACCTTAATCCTTTCTCTACACTCCCACGTTTATGTCTTCTCAATCACAAACATGCACCTGTTGCCGGCCAACACACATCCTTTTACATTTATTATTGGCTAACGCTGAGCAGGGGACAATTCCAAGTTCATGGGGCTTTACTGGGCGGGGTTCGGGCTTAGCAGAAAATAGAAAAAAAGAAAACATATTGCCTACATTGTATCACAGTGCAGGGTAAGACTCGCACTTTTAAGGATTTCTAAAATTCCAGAAAGGGGTAAAACTCTGGATTGTTGCTTTAAAAAGACAATGTGTAGTTTTTACTGTTAATCTGTGGAAATATCCATTGAAATGTTGTTGAAAATGAATTAAATGATGCCCAGTTGTTGAAAAATGTTGGTGGTTTCCTAACATGTAACCATAAATACCGGGTCTAAAATACACTGGCGCAGGTCTAAGTCTCTGGGCGACGCCATATTAGACACCATGTTTCCTTCTACGGGTGCCCATGAGGACGGATTGCCTTCACTGATTTGTAACAAATGGTTACAAAACTTTGGCCATTCATAAACTTTGTTTTGCACATTTACCTCTTCACTCGTTGCCAGTGATGAAAGGGACTCTCGTGTTTTTGTCATTTTGCTGGAGGTTGAACAAAAATTGCGCACCCAGGGATTTGTGACCTTACTCAAACACAAAAATACGGCTTGCTTGCAATGACTTAGGCAAGTACTGCCCCCTATCGCCAGGGAAAATACACATTGTTGCTTTAATAGCAGGACCTAAAGTCTGGAAAATTGACCAATGGCTTGGGGTTTTATCTTTGGTAATGCAGATGTTGCTTTGGTCTGTTGTGATAAAAAAAATCAATGGGCAAAGCTCTCAGATTATTGGTTTGTCAATGGTCCCAAACTCATCTATGGCCGTGAGATGGGGATCGCTACTGACAGAACAAGGTCTTGGACATGGCTGATATGACCTTCCTCTGTAGGGCCATTGGGCCGTAGTTGAGAAGCTCTGTCATCCAGGCGGAGCCAAGAATAGAGTTGCCGCTCATCTGCATCAAAATCAGCTGACTGGAGTCAGTGCTATGAGTATCTTGACTAGTATCTGACTAAAACATCATGGTGGACTTACTCTGGAGTTTTCTAGGCTGGTACAATTCGATAGGAGATGCTGGGGCAGACCCAGAAGTCGTTGGAGGGATTATGTACCCTAAATGGCAGGACACACCTTGGGATCCCCCTAGAGGAGCTGATGGATGGATGGATGGATGGATGGGTGGGGGTGGGGGTGGATGGATGGATGGATGGATGGATGGGTGGGGGTGGGGGTGGATGGATGGATGGATGGATCATCTTGGTTTTGGCTGGTTTCCATCCTTGAGCCACTTGCTTCTGACCATTGAGGAACAGAAACAACTCATCAATCGGAGCAGCAGTTATACAGATACTATGACTCAGCCATCTAGAAATCAAAAGTTGAGTTTTGTCACAGCTGCTCATATCTTCAGACTCGCCCACTTTTCTGACTCAACCCATCATCTTTAAGGACGGAATGTTCTTATGCTGCCTAATATATCCAGGAGATAATCGCTGTTCTTCACTGCAGCTCTCAGCGGTCAGAGTGTGAAAGACGGACGTTTTTCTGAGTAACCTTTGTAAAACTTCCAGCAATACATATCAGTACATGAGCAATTTAGAGTCATTAATTCAGTCATTTTTCTCAGTAGCAGTTCTACCTCCCTGTTTTAGCATCCCAGCCCAACTGCTTTGTTATTTCCCGGAAGCAGCATAAATCGTACTCCTGGTAATTTATGGCCTACATTAAATTACGTCTCTTAAACATTTATGAGACTTAGTGAAAACAGTTCAACTGTTCTCCACTGGGATTGTATGTTTGGAAGTAAAGAACAAGAAAACACTATTAGTGTGTAAAGACTTCTCTTCTATTGGGCTGCCAAGAAGCTCTTTTGTATTAATGAGTCAGTTGTCAACTAAACACAAGAAGGCAGAAGGTTTTCTTTGGGGAGACAGTTAGAGATGTTCGGTCTCCAGGCACTGCCCTTTGATGTGACTCTTTTGTGCTCTTCAGTATCATCATATCACAAACGGTGCCGCCTTTCAACCTCGAGCTTTGTTTCTTCATTCTGAGTTCCTACAGCTGCTGAAATGCACAATCGCCTCTTTCTGGGGATTCCCTATAGCCCCCTGGCTTTAATACGGATAAGGTTAGGATCGTTTGACATTATGAAAATGGTTTTGAACAGGATCTGTATTTTTAACTAAATTATTTTACTTTCTGAAATCGACACCCCTGTCGAACGTCAGTGGCACTGCCCCTGACGGAAAAAGTAGTTCCCCAGCAGGAGGCGTCACATGATAAGAGTTTATGAAAACAAGCGTTTCTTTCCTGTTTACACGTTTCCTAAAGCACAGCGGTCTGCAATCTATTCTCAGCCACATTTGGAGCCACGGACGTCAATAAGTGTTCTGGCAAAAACAGCAGGAGCTGAAAACACAGACTTCACTGTTTCCAGAGTCCAAGTGTACTTTAGAGTTTTAGTTTTCTGCTGGATTCCCTGAGTATCAGTACGCCACTGACTGTTGAAGTAAAACAGCTGTTTTCACTTCGGTGGATAAGGATGTACTTTAAACTGGAGGTCCAGATACAAGTGAAACTTGATGTGCTTGGGTTTTTAGTCCCACTCTGGGTCTGAGATGTGATGGGTAAAAGAGCACCCCCACTAGCCTAACTGTTGCAATGAAACCCAAATCCTGAGTCACAGCAGAACAAAGGAGTTGTGATACTTCTAAATGAGATAATTTGCCGAGGGGCAAACAGGAAGGCCTTCGCTCAGTGGCAGTTGGCTATAATGTTTTTGCCTCTGCCTGTCAGTGTGTTGGTCTGTAGAGTTTGCACGATTGCTCATGAACCTCAAGTCTGACATTATCACTGCATACATGCACAAGTACAGTGATGCCTCGCTACTTCGCGGTTCGTTTATCGCGGATTAACGACTTCGCACATTTTTTCTTTGGAGCCTTATTTAAGGGAAATTTGCCGATTGGCGGTATTTTTCACCGATTCGCAGGATTTTTCTATGCGAAATATCAAGAAATTCCTGTTTTTTTTTTCATCAATTTCATCATAAAATGTACTTTTTGTAATAAAACTATAAAAAAAAACAAGTAAAAATACAGTACTATGTAAAGGGAGGGTTTTAAAAGTCTGAATACTGAATACGTACCTGTTAAATAAATACTGTAAATATGGTGTCCCTACTTCGCGGATTTTCACCTATCGCGGCCAGGTCTGGAACGCATCTACCGCGATAAACGAGGAATCACTGTAATGAACTTAAATCAAGGTGGCTGCCCTAGCTAATCAGCCTTATCCAACAGAATGTATTTATGTATTGCCTTCTAGAGTTCTACAACCCCCCCAAGGCACTTTACAACACTTTTTAAACACTGGTGTTGATGAGCTAGACTGGTTGCGCACTGAAAGAGGCCAGGCTGCCAAGCACTAGCACCACCAGTGCTTCTGATCACCACTAGCAAGCAAGGTGGGTTAAGTGTCTTGCCCAATAACGCAAGGCCCAATCCCAACAATCGCACAACGGTTATCAGTAAACTGCTCTAGGAGAAAGTGTGCAGTAAGGATTCGAGTGCGTGGTACACAAGTGTGCAAATAATTGCCAAATTGAGACGGGGAGCATTGCGTCATCGATGGCAACACATGCCAGGATGCTGGTCGCTGTCATGCTTTTTTAAATAAAACTTTATTAACAACTTTCAAACAATTATTTGAAATATTTTTACATTCATTTCTGCTTTGTCTAAAAGTTTTAGAGCATCAATTAATCATCCTAAAATTATTTACTTTCATTAGAAAATACATATTTTCAGAAAAGGAATTCAAGCCTTGATCCCGCAGCAATGGATTGTGGGTAATACACTTCACCCAAGTCTGCATCGCTGCAGACTTGGGTGAAGTGCAGATCAAGGGTGCAAAAAGGACGTGATCAGCCTCCGCACTTGAGAATCGGGACACCCTACGCACTCGCACCCCTAGTCGGGATCATGCGACTGAAGGGCTCAAGTGTGGAAGTTTGATTGGACCAATGACTGCGACAGACGAGGCTCGAACATGCAAACTCTCGGTTGCGAGGCGGGCGCTTTACTCTTCCACCCTCGCCCCAGCAGAAGGGCATAATTAGATCAAACTGACATGAGCTAGAAATTGGTTTGTCTTGAGGTTGGAGTGATCCCCGGCTCATAAACCACGAGCTGTCTGAATGCATCAGGTCTCGGTTTCATACATTACCATTAATCTTTGAAGTCGTCCTTCTCGTCTGTTGGCAACATATCTCAAGAACAAGAGGATGGATTTAACTGAAACTTGAAGGATATCATCTCTTGATGTGTATCAGCAACTCATGAGCTTATGAAATGAAACCAGTTTTAGTTAGAAGGTCATAGCCAATTAATCCTGCAAAACACAACAATGGCCCAGGGAATTTGTCAGATACTGAGTTAAGCATGTAGTTTAGTTATCACTTATACTCCAAAATATACTAATCACACAAGATCTTTACATAAAACATTTGCATCAAGCCTGTTTGTTTGTTATCTAAATGCGTGAGGAACCAAAGGTAGAAATTCTCAGAACTTCTCCATCAGATACTGATAAATGTTATAGTTGTTCCAGTTCCAGAAGGTCAACCACAGCCACAACAACAACGGCCTTAGGTCATATTTACTTATGTTCAGTAAGAGCGGTAGTGGTTGAGCGGGTTGTCCAGTAATCGGAAGGTTGCAGGTTCGATCCCGGCTCCGGACAGAGAATTCTGCTGTTGTGTCCTTGGGCAAGACACTTAACCCCCCTGCCTGCTGGTGGTGGTCGGAGGGACCGGTGGCACCTGTGCTCGGCAGCCTCGCCTCTGTCAGTGCGCCCCAGGGATGCTGTGGCTACATTGTAGCTCATCACCATCAGTGTGTGAATGTGTGTGTGTGGATGAATGATACACTGTAGTGTGAAGCGCTTTGGAGTCCTTACTCTGAGAGGCGCTATACAAGTGCGGGTCATTTAGTGGCTGACAGTTGTTAACAGCATATGCTCCACTTTTATTTACAAGATTGTAACAAAACATTCAACTTTGTAATTTCTCTCATAAGATGATCTGAGTTTCAAACTAAGCATGAAAGACTCTGCCTTTAATCTTGACTTGTTTTAGCCACACAGAAAATGGAGATGTTTATAGTTTATAGCACATCTACTCAATTTGACATCTTTAGTGAGCACACACTCTGCAGTTGACATGCAAGTGTTAGCTGTACTTTTTATTATCACACATTCCATCTTGTTTAGTGAATCTTGAGCAGTAGACAGCCAGATGATTCATCCATCACTTGTTTCTGCCACACATCACTGATTCTTGTTGCCACCTTTCAGGGGGGATGTGGATGTGTCAGCTGTGTGCCAGTACCAGATCAGCGATGTGAAGAAAGTGTTCGAAGGGTCCTACAAGGAGTACCGGGAGGCGTCCCAGAGGTGGGGACGCTACACCGGCGCCATCCCCAGCCCACGACCCGGATCGGTAAGAACACCCAGGAAGCCTGACATGACACTGTTGGATTCAGCTTTTTAGAAAGAAAGTGAAAGGTTAGAGTGATATTGGGAGGGATGCGAGAGCAGAGGTGGGACGGAGCAGTTTAATGAGGACGGAAGAGTAAAACACAGAGACACAGTAGACAAGGTAGACAGCTCTGAGCCAGCTCACCATGCCAGCCTGTGCCAGCTTAATCCAAGAAACTGCTTTCTGCTTGTCCCCACCCCCTCCTCTCCTTTCTGTAGTGCATAACTAACTCAGACAGGGAGAACGGCTACAACAGCTCGCTGCAGCTGCCCGATGCCACGCTCAACTTTGCCAAGAAACACCCACTGATGGAGGACAAGGCTCTAGGTCGCCCCCTGCTGCTGACCAAGGGTGTCAATTTCACCAAGCTGGCAGTGGATCGGGTCAGCGCTCTGGACCAGCGGGCGTACAACATGCTCTTCATCGGCACAGGTATCAGTGACACAGCATCCATCCTACAGCAGTGTCTGTTATAAAAACTATCTGGTATTTTTATAGAAGGGTACTAGCTCCAGGAGACGGTAAATGTAATTAATTTGTCTTTGTCCTTTCACCTCAGTGCTTTCAGTCACTTAATGCCTGACGCAGTTTTAAATTCCACATTTTGTTTTTTGTTGGGTTTTTTTGGGGGGGGCTGCAGCAGAATAATGAGACTATTTTGGCAGAGATCCCTGAGCTGGGATTTCAACAAACCTTTTCCAAAGTCGAACTCAGGATGAAACTGATTTCATTCGTATGCATCAGTTTAAATATCAGATACCTCAGCTAGAACGTTTAACCTTCCGTCATACCTTTACAAGAGCTTCCCGTTTTCTAGTAACAAGGAGCAACTTCTCCAGTGCAGAGCACATCAAGAGAAACTTCCTGTTCTGCAGGAGCATCAAAACGTGCTGAGTCATCTCTCCGTCGTGCATCGTACATGAATGAGTTTGACCCGGTGGTTTTAAACCAAAGCTGGTACTCTTTTGCATGGGTTTTCATTAGAGTCACATTCTCCTCCAGTGTTTTTCAGTGAGCTGGGGTCGTATGCTCAGTTTCCCAACATATTCCTGTATTTGCTTCCTGTGGGTGAGTGAGTGTCAGCGTGTGTCAAGGGGAAATCCACTCAGTGTTCGTTTTAAGAGGTGAGCTTGCAGGCCGTGGCAGCAGGCAGGGACAGCTACTGGCATTAGGTGTTGTGGCACACAAACAACACACCATCTGGCCAGACCTCAGCTGGGTTTCAATTAAAAGCTTCATTTGCATGCTGAGATCCATCTCCATGCATCGAGGGAAGCGTCGTCTCTACGAGCAACTTCATCCATCTCCGGTCAGTTGCCCCGGGGCCCATATGCTTGTGTCTTGTTCTGGCTTAGACCAGAAATGAGCTCGTCCTGCAAGAGACTAAATCCCAAAGAACACGGGTCTGGCAGCGGATTCCTGGGAATGGGAATTCAAATGCAGCTTGTCCAATGAATGAGAAGAGGCTCGACTGCTTACCATTCACATCACTGCATAGGCAGAGTGACAAAAGTGGGTTCCTGGCTTCGCTGCTGCCGACCCGGACGCATGCGTGGACGTTGCAACACACACACGCACGGCCAACACACACAGGGGCACACACACGTTCTCTCTCTCTGAGAGCCAAGCTCGGTCGTCCCCACTTGTCCTGCTTCGCCGCACAAACCCAACAGGGCCCTTGGCAGGCGTGCGTTCATAGCGCCAGTTGGGCTCCTGGCTTGATGAGCTATTAGCCGCAGCGTAGCGACAGCTGATGTGAAAGGAGAGGGAGAGAAACAGGGAGTGCTTGTCAAGACTGTTTTTTTTAGAAAATAAAACTGGCTGCAGGATGGAGGGATTAGCTGACACTGGTCTCTGACGCTGCGAGAGGAAAGTGTGATGATATGCCTGCTACTTTCTCTACCTCTGTGTATTTTCCTCGCTCTAGCCTTCCTACAGCTGCAGGGATGGATTTTCATATTTTCTGTGACAGTCTCTTAATCGCCAGCACCACACTAGACAGCACATTTCAGCACGTAACACCGTTCTGTACACGGACGCACGTCAAGGTCACCCCACCAGCTGCGCCTCAGATGGTCCTCGTCACTGGGGATCTAAACTTGTTCACAGTGCCCTATATGAAAGAAGCAGAGTCCTCCACCTCCCCCAGCATCAGCTCCTCACACACCTTTTGAGAAAGTCTTCAAGTTCCTCAGATGATGTTGCTGGTCCTCAGGGTGCTGGAAGGCCAGGAGCAGCATCTCAGTTCTTTTAAAATGACCTTTAAATAGTTTGTTGCTGAGGAGCTCAGTGAAGAAGTCAGGTTGTTTACTTGTTTTCCTCAGTTGCACAGCAGCATGACATTTTAGTCAGACTCACATTAAAGTTTTAAAACTGACACGGATGAACAAAGTTGCAGAAAACTTGCAAAAACACCTTTGGTTTGTTCCTCTCAGCTCTGATGTCATTTTTTCTGGGTAGATGATACATTTGAGGGGATTTTCACTGATAATTAACATACAGTCATTCAGAGTCTTTCTATTTGCATGAAGCTGCTGTAGGGTTTTGTAAATTGAGAGTGCTTTAAGAGCTCAATATATACATACATATATATATATATATATATATATATATATTACCTCTACTTATGACCAATAAGCTGTGATACTCTATCTAAATATAGAATATCACCCTGCCTGGTCTTTATTGGGCTTTAATCAGAAGATTCTAGGATTCTTAGTTTATTAGGGGATTGTACACACTTCAGTTTGATTCAGAAAAGAGTCAGGTTTATAAAAGTAAGAATTTATTTTACCAACAATTAAAACATGACAAGTTAACTAACATTTACTGTGATGTATGAACCTATGTGTGAATGCGATGTTAGTCAGAACTGCCGTATCTCAGAGAGCTGCGTTCTGGATGTGAAATAATTTGGTTTGCGTTAAGCTGTGAAGTTGATTATTATCAAAACCACATCAGACGCAATCTCACTGTGTTCTGCGTACCCAAGTCGAGACGCCCTTTTGGATCCGAGATGTCGGGGCGGTCGGAAACCCCGGGTACCGAAGTCCGTAGATTAACTGCAGTACGAGCAGGTCAGTCCAGAGTCATCTCCAGGTAACGGCAGTTGGAACTAGTTTGCATCTCAGGAATAACTCTCAAGGAGTTGAACAAACCAGCTTGTTCTGCAGGAACTGTTTTGTTGTATCAGCTTCGCAGGTGCAAAAAAGGTTTTGGCGATGTGTCAAAAGCTTTGGTGGTTAAAGAGTTGTTCCTCCAGGTGTCTAAAGCTCAACTCTGATGTGGCTCACTTCTTGTTCCGGAAACAGGTGCACCGGAGCTTTTTTTCCCCAGAGAACGACTCTGCCTTTCCACTTGAGACCTTTGCAAATGTGTGAAAATATGAGTAAAGTTGGATCTTTAAAGAGTTTGGCAGACAGAGGCATGTGTCGTAGGGTGTGTGCTGAATCATCCTTCATTTTATTTTTTCTCTACCTCCAAGCAGCCAGATTTTCTTGTGATCTGATAAAGTGGTCTTGATCAATAGTTCTGTAGGATTTCTGAAGGTCTTTAAAGTTTTATTTGAACTTTGGCTGCTTTTTCCTCTCATTTTCAGTCCAGTGCCTGCTTGTTTTCAGGGGGATGTTTTTCAGTTTTTGTGAATTAAAATGCTTAGCTCTGACGTGAACGACTCGCACATAAAAGGCTCCTAACTCAAGGATAAACCAGTCAGACCACAGCTACAAAAACTAATGTAAATTGGATTTTAGTCATTTTACCAGCAGCCTGTCACAAAGGCACAGTTTGTCCTTGTTTCTTTCATCGAATCGCTGAAAAATACCAAAGATAAAAGATTTTGATGAATAGAAAATTACATTTTATTTCCAGGAAAACGATTCTAAAGAACTACAACAACCTACAAACTAGTCTTTCAGTGGATAATCACAGAAAGTAGAAGGATCTCAGCTCTTTTTCTAGGTGGACTTTTTAAATGAGTTTTTGAATTTCATGTTTTTTTAGTACACAACTTCCAGATAAAAACTTATCTTAAATACTTTTTTAAAGATTTCCCAGATTTTTTTGTTGTTGTCAGGCACAAGAATTGCACAGAGAAGAATAAAAGCAGCAATGTTGAAAGAAATACCTCATCAGACCTTCAGAAAGAAGAACGGTTTATTAAGAACACTTTAAAAAATTACAAGGAAGTCTTAACTGTTTGAAAATAAAGAATAAATAAATTAATGGTGCTTTAAACCTTTGCACAAAGTGAAATGACAGCCTTTATAAACTGAAATCCACGAGGGATGAGGCTGATCTATCTCTGAAGCGAATTTGGATTTTAAATTGGTCTGAAACGAGCTGAACCCTCCCTCCTTTCCTCTCTGTCTTGCAGCTGAAGGCTGGCTGCAGAGGGTGGTGGTCCTGGGCTCTGAGGCACACGTCGTCGAAGAGATCCAGCTGTTTGAGACGGCCCAGCCTGTGGACAGCCTGACCATCTCCCACTCAAAGGTAAGGACACACACCTGGCTCGGCTCACCCAGAGACGCAGAGCTCTGCGTGGGAAAATAATTCAGTGTCATTGGAGGGGCTTTGTCCGCTTGAAAAAGCACGTCCAGAACTGTCTGTGCACGGGGAGGTTGTAACAAACCCATAAAACTTCAATCACTTTTAGAGCTTTGACCATAAAGAAAATTCCTGTCAGTTTATTACACTCCCCCTCCATTTGGCTCTAAACAGGCTGATTTATAACCGGAGAACGGGGAGGAATGTGTTATCATTCAGTAGGAGAGTCCGGCTGCTCCCAAAGGGACGTTTGTCCTTAGCACCACAGACCTTTGTGTGTTGTTTTTATTTATTAGTTTATTTTTGTTTTGATTCATTAACGCAGTTGTAATGGAAGCATGGATTTATGGATCCACTTACAGACTCAACAGCTTTTTTTCCTTGGTGCCACAGCCAGGATGTTTTATCAGTGCGACCATTTTTAGATTGAATGTTGCTTCACAACGCTGAAGATCTCCCTAATCGCTGTAATTAGCAGCCTTAAGCTCGGTGGGGAACTTAACTACCGTGTTTCCTCGACCTTCCTGCTCTGTGAGCTGAGTCCGTGTGCCGTCACGTCCCAGCGTATCGGCCCGGTCCGCTGATCAGTGCACTTTGGTCAAGGCGTTCTCGACACTAAAGCCCACCGCTTATCTCGTTAATGCGGGCTTAGACATGGTTTATAACGGTTTTTGCCAAAAGGCCGTAAACCAGATTGGACTGGAGGAGGGTCCAGGGTGTATGTTGTAATTGAGAGTGATTATCCCATTATCTCCTCTAACCCACAACTCAGTCACTCTCCTTCCCTCTCTGTTTGTCTCCCCTCGTCTCCGACCCTTGTCTCTGTAGAAGTACTTGTACATCGGCTCTCGTTCTGAAGTTCTCCAGCTGCCCTTGGCCAACTGCAGCCGCTATCAGTCTCAGCCAGACTGCCTGCTCGCCAGGGACCCCTACTGCGCGTGGGACAACGAGGGCCGGGCCTGCGTCCGCATCGACCTCCATCGAGGGTGAGACACGTACCTGTTGGCCCCTGATCATTACTCGCCCAGGTTTGATGAGGCTTGGGATTGCTGTTTTGAAGGGCGACACTAGAATACAAACAGATCACCGATACAGTGAATGAGTTTCACGCCTCTGTTGAAATTTATTAAAATCAATAAACAGCAAATTGAAATCATTTAGTCATCGAGTTAAAGCCTTCATGCAAAGCAGGGTCCTCATTTATAAGAAGCAAGGGGGGGAGGGGGGTGCTGCTGTTTGGATTGCTGGCTGTAATGCACATAACACACAAGCTTGCAATATAAAGCAGGACAACACCTGTCCCCCTCCAGCTCGGCTGTGTGACCACTAACCTGTCCTGTGTGACCCTCACCATGTAGCCCTCATGTCCATGCTGTCTCTGGAGGAGCAGATAGGAAATGAGATCTCCTGTAACTTAAAAATGAACCAAAGCTTGCTCCCAGTTTCTCTTTCAGCTGAATTTAACATCAGTTTATCTTCATGAAACAAAAGAATAAAGTGGAACAAGAACTTCTATCTTCTATTTCTCTCTCCTTTTAACTTCTCCGTGTCCCTAAATAAAAGAGACAGACGATCACGCTGCAGCCGCCGCCACTGACCCCGCTCCCTCCCCAAGACCGGATCTCCCGACATCACAGCACTCGGTCTGACTGAGCGCTTCCAGGAGAAACAAAAATGAAATTATGGAAATAATAATGCACGTTTGGAGGAGTGTCCTCCGATTCCCCCCCCCCCCCCGACTCTCTTTCTCTCTCAGTCGCTGATGGAGCGAGCGGAGCGCGCTGCACGACAACCCGCTCAATTAACATAGCTCACGACCCAAATCCAACAGAACCGATCGGGCTGATTCGGTTAGGGTCCTGTCTCAGGTTCTAACTCCAGTGCTCAGCCCTGCAGTACCACATAAAGGCGGACCAAAGTTTCCTACCCGGTAAATGTGGAGAACACCGCTCTGACAGATGTGGATGCTATGCTGGTGCCGCCGTTAAAATAACAAAACCACATTCCACTGTAATTGATTATGGTACTCTTCTATGATGCAGAATCGTTTATGCTCGCATCTCATGCATTGATTATTTGATTATTTTCCTCAGCTCTATCTATCCTACGCCTCCCGGTCGGCCGTCGGGGGTGGGGGTGGAGGGTGCAGGCGGGGTTTGGGGGCCACAAAGAGAGGGCTCGCGGGCTGGACGTGGCCCACGGGCCACTATTTGCGGACCACTGATGTGAAGGCTTGTGTTATATCTATCATGTCTAGTATTACTGAAGTACGTGTTTTATCTTTTTTGCTACTTTTGTTTGCTCTACACCTCCTCATGTACAGTAATGTTTACCCCGGAGCCGTCAGCAGCTCGTCATAGCTGCTGATAGGAACCGCTGTGGTCAACAGAACCTTTTCCACCAGAGCGGTCAGCAGCGCGAGTCGGCCACGTCTCAGGAGCAGCATGTCGCGGCCTTTACGCGCCGGTTCTATTTTCTACCCGCGAAGCCTCTGAAACGGGTCAAGTTCGACATTTTTGGGGAAGGAAAGACCGGAAATGGGATGCGGAAACGGAGCGAAGCTCCCGAGATTTTCAGAATAAAGAAACGTACTGCCTTCCGGTTGCTTTACTTTAAAAAATAGTTACTAACTGTGCGTCCCCGTGAGAAGTTATCACCTAGCTAGCGGTCTCCTTTGTTTTTCAGGTCCGTATTGGCGATTATAAAATGGACAGAACATAAAACACAAACCTTTTGGAGCCATGTTGTAGTTTTCTCCTGCTTGTTGTTGTGTTTACTGACGAAGTCACTCGCGTGACTTCGTGCCCTGTCGGTGACAGCTGCTCCCCTGCTGCTTCGCGTCTCGTGGGAAGGGCCAAGCAGCAGCTTACGCGAGCAAGACGTGCTGCTGCAGTAACGTGCTGCTGACGGCTCCGGTGGAAAGAAGGGGTTAAGCTCTCTCTTTCAAATCTGAATGTTGTCTTCTTCATTCACCCCTCTCGTGTCCAGGTCCACCTCGTCCCTCTCACAGGACCTCATGCTGGAGAGGTTCAATCGTGGGAAAGCCAAGTTCGATAAACCCGTCTCCATCCCCAGCCCCGGTGAGTATAAGACAGTGCCTCATTAGTGACCTCTGGTGGTACTGGACTGTCACTGCAGGTCAGGTTTTCTGCAAGGTGGAATGGAGCAGGACTGAGTTAATAAATAAATGGAGCTAAGCAGAAAAGTGCTGTCTGGATTTTTAACGGATGAAACAACCTGAACTGTTGTGTTCTCCTCTCTTCTCTCTTGATCCCTCATGTTCTTCTGCAGAGCACTCCCATCTGAGAAATGTCACAGTGGTTGTTGGGTCCGACATGGTGCTGCCGTGCCAACTCGTGTCAAACTTGGCTCAGCCGTTCTGGGTTGTCAACGAGCGGGAGCTGCTGCTGGGTGACCCAGAAGCAGGAGGGCCACGCTTCGACAGAGCCCTCAAAGCCCTCATCATCCCCGAGGCAGGCCAGATGCAAGCAGGCCGCTACATCTGCTACTCTGAGGAGCAGGGGGTCAAGTTTCAGACGGAGCGCTACCAGGTGGCGGTTGTTGCCAGTGCTCCGGTATTCATGGAAGCCCGAGCTCCGGACAGCAGCATGGGGCTCTTCTGGGTGCTGGTCATCACTCTGGGCGCGGCGTGCCTGCTGCTCTTTGTGGTGGCTCTCTATCTGCGTAGGAGGCTGAAGCTGGCTCTGGGGAAAGGAGCTGACATGAAGCCTCTGGAGAGCACTTTGGTCTACCCCGTCACCCTGCCAAAGGAGCCACCCACCTTTGTGCCCAGCAAGATGCCGAGCGATGAAGACCGATTCTGGGAAACAGGTGCCAACTACTACTACTCAGACGGTTCGCTGAAGATCGTTCCCGGACACGCCCTGGGGCCCAGCAGCGTCAGCAGCACGGCATCACCCAGCGCCATTCCTGGCCAGCCCATCCACTCCCCCAGCCGTCTCAGCCTCACCAACATCCGAGGCTCTGGTAGCAATGGTTACATCCGCCTCAATCTGAGCACAGCAGGGGAGGAGAGGGCTAGTGGGGCCGGCGCTGGGGGTGGCGGGCTGGGAGGTCTCAGCGTGGGTGGGAACGACTACTCCAGCCCATTTAAGGAGGAGCTTAGACGCACTCTGCAGCAGAGAAGCGTCCTGCCTGACGCGAACCCGGAGGAGTCGTCCATCTAGACCCGTCTTTCCAGCTCCGTTCCCTGAGGTGGAAAAACAAAGCAACCAACCTACCTCCCTCTTTGTGAGGATGCCTGCTCTCTCTGTCTTCTAGTGACATGCTGTCGACACCCACGCTCTCTATCTCTGCTGATGCCTGACTGGCTCTCTTAAGACGTTTATAGCACACAGCATGGTTATTACACACACTCATACAACATGCATTCCTATAATTGCTGTGCTGTGGGCAACACGCAGTCATGGTTGTGACTTTCTCTGCTTCCACTGTGCAACTGCCACTTGTGTAAATTTTGTATTTAAAAAGGATGAACGCAGAGGCGACCTCCTCTGACATGGAAACCCAACAAACGTTTTGCTCTCTGAAGGGCACATTTCGTTCTTTTACATTGAACTCATCCTTCGCGCTGAAACCAGTAGGCAACGAGAGCAAACAACTGAAAAAAACGGGCCCGGTTCTGTGTTTGTGTTGCTTTAGAACGTTTTCTGCTTACTGCACCTGAAAACTGGAAGCGTGTCTTCCCTATTTTCTACTCGTGAGCCAGGAAGGAGAGCGCTACTAAAGAAATACTAATTAATCAGCAAGCAAGACGACAATCATGTCCCTGTGGCAGGAGCTCCGAGTGGGACAAGAAGAGGAGAGGAGCGACGAGAGGCAAAAAGAATACAAGCAAACAAAAAAGTGAAGCAAACAAGAGTTAAAGATGCAGGGGGGGGGGGGGGGGGGGTGAAGGACTATCTCTAAAAACATTTTCTGCTTGATTTACACCCCCCACCCCAACCCCCACCCTCCACGACGCATTTACTGCTGAAGGAGTTCTTCAGTTTCTTCCACTTTAATTTAATGTGATGGTTGGTTTGAATTAATATATTTCTTGTCGTTCTTTTTCCGACTCACGGACTACAGCAGTGTTGTAACAGTTTGAGAGTGACTAATGGCTCACCTCTGTGAAAGACAATGCGAGGGTAACCTCCTTAACATAACATTATTCCTGACTCGGTCCTGCACGGTGACCTTCAAATCTACAAGTGCACTCCCTGTGACATTTATTCGAATCACAGCGTGTTACAGGCAGACTGGTGTTTCTGATTCAGACCTTTGAACGCTCGATCATCCCCAGGACAAAACAAAAAGGCTGTTTGCTTTCAGCTCATAGCGGTGGAACGATGATTGCACAGATAACTCCAAACTGAAGTTGACATGATGACAAAAGGGCACGGAGAATGTAAATGCACCCTCGTTGTTGCGACCGCTGTGGATGTCTCAGTAAGTGCTTTATGTGTTTGGTGAGGGTGGAAACTTGCACTGCCAAGAAGGAAACTACCACTCCAACACACACCTTCACCTTCTAATGGATCCCAGCCATCCCAGAGTACAAAGTGATTGTGACCTCCTGGAGCCCCCATCCCCTTTTACCGATGCCCAGAGACTGATCTGGGGTTACTGTGGACACCGACACACACAAACACGCAGTATTAGTGGAAGAATGGACAGACAGATGGGCCGATTGCTGCCGTGGTGACAAACACCTGGCTCCAGAAGAGAAGCAGCCATGAACCAGTGAAAGGTACTTTAATTCATTCAAACTTCTTACTCTTCATTTACAACAGTTTTCATTGCCTGCCACCAAAAGGTGGGAGATATTTTTGCACCTGTAAATGTTGAATGGCCTCGTTTATGAGTCGTACTACTCCCCAAGGCACTTTACAACACCAACTGTCATACACTCGTGCACAGACACATTGGTGGTGATAGCCACAGTTGCCCTGGGGCTTGCCGACCACCACCAACCAAAGGGGGCAACCGTGTCTTGCTCAAAGACACAACGACTGCAACAGACTTGAGCGAAGCTCGAACTTGCAACCCTCCAGTTACACTTAAAGTCTCTTTCTGGAGTATTTCTCTTTTGATGGCACCATCTAGTGGCTGACAAGCATATCACACAAATAGTTTCTCCTTCCGTTTTTTTTTTAAGATGGCGACTTCACGTTTCTTGTTTATTAATGTCCTTCTGTAGCCGACAACCAGAGCTAAAACACGTTGTTTTACAAGTATCGTTCTCGTGTGATGTTGTGTCTACATATATTTATATTTTAAAGACTTTCTTGTCTGTGAAAAGTTCATCAGCTCTGCATCAGCCGAGGTATTCCTTAAATTTGAAACATGTAAGCGGTAGTCTAATTCTATTGGTTAGTTCTGGTCAGCACTCAGTTTCCTATTGCACGGAGCTCTGCGGGGCAGGGGGCGTGCTTAGCAAAAAAACAAAAAAAAGGACATATTGCTTACATTATATCACAGTACATGAAAGATAATCACTTTCACGGATTTCTAAAAAATCAAACATAATTTCTGAAAGGGGAAACCTCCAGAAAGATGCGTTAACTCTCTTCACACTGTCACCCCAACTGTGTGTGTTTGTTGTTCTGGTATCAAAATATCATAGAAAGCTCTGAAGGAATTTTAATGAAAGCTTCATGAAGTAATTACTGTATGTACATTGGACATTTCAAGATGGCTACCACAGCTGATCAACATTAACAAACAGAAACGTGTAAAAGTCAGGATGCTGCAGAGATCGGCGTTCCTCTCAGGATGAACTGCAATTTAACCGTAATGACTTTGGTGATCATTAGATTAGATGATGCGGCGTCCTCATCATAATTTGCTTAATACTTCAGTTTATGGCTGGTGCTTTCAGAAATAATGACTTTCCCATCAGCCTTGATTGGACTTTGTGCTCAGCCAACATTTGCATCCATGAGATGGCAAACAGTAAACACTTTAGCACGCTGTGCTAAGCTGTGCCCCATTTGTCTTGAAAGTTGGGGCAGAGAGTGAGAACACACTTGACTAAAAAATGCTAACAAAGTGCTTGTAAACTGGTAATTACCCATTTGTACCACTTTTATGCAGCTGCTATGCGTTCGTTAATCTTGTCTGTGAGAAATCTGACTTTGAGTTGCACTTTTGAAAGAGATCTCTGAAAATCTAAACACAAAATTAGCATCATCATTAGTAGCTTGTTAACGCGCCATTATTTGCTAATAAAGGTAAAGCAGGTTGACGGATGGCTGCACACACCTGTGAATGGTCTGTGTGGAAGCTGTAAACAGGAAACCTTCTCGTGAATTATGTTCTGCAGGATTCACTCGTCTCTCTCACTCTGCGGGTCTTTCTGTGTGCTCTTCCTTCACAAGGACAACGTGCATCAGAGAGGCTTCTTTCCTGGCGAGTGATGAGAGAAGGGCCCACATGAAGCCTGAGCATTTTATTAAAAAGAACAGTTTCAGAGTGACAAACATCAAAATATGTTGACCCAGAAAAAGCCTTCACAGTGTTTTATTAACCGTCTTAATCTAAAAGTCCTGCTCAGAACGGACAACTCTAACTCCTGCTCCAAGTTCCTTTTCATACAACTCATAGTTTCATCATCGTGTAAAAAAGTTCACATTTTTACTAGTAGCAGGCTTTATCACCCACCGGTGAAAGGTGGGTGATCTTTTTGCCTGTCTCTGTGTGTCTGCTAAATATGTCAGGAACCACTGAGTGGATGTTAATGAAACTCTCATAAATCATTGCTGGACATTCACCTGCAACTGACTAACCTTTGGAGTCAACACCACCCAATATGGCCGCCTTAGCTAATCAACATTAGCCAACAAAACAGCGATAACTGAGTCATTTGTTCAGATCTGAAGGTAAAACTCGATGTCAGAGTAGCTGAGAGACGTTCCCATCATAAGAGGTTTGTTATTTTCAGGGTTCAAAGTCTTTCATTTAAAGTCCTAAATATGTGTCAATGTAATTATAGTCAAATAAAAAAAAACATTTTGTCTTTTTTCTTTTGAAATCCTTTGCCAGTAAGAGAGTGACTTACATCTTCTGCTTCTGTGCTTTTTCCATCAGATGTGTCTTTTGTATTTTCAAGACCAGAGAAGAACAGCGTGAAGGAACAGGAAAGAACAAAAATAGCTTCTTGTGTTCCCACTTTGTACAGAGCGCCGAGGGAGATGAAGAAAATCAGAACGACCCCGAGGCTGAGAAGGTCGTCAGCACTTCATCGTATTGTTGCATGATCCTCTCTGCAAGTGGACCGCACATCATTGTACAAGTGCTTCATTTTGATTGATCATTTTTAGACCTTTTCAAACTCTGATGTTGTGCAACACTAATTAATGCTCTTTTTAAAAAATTATGGCTCGAGAGTTGTACAGAAGTTCATGGCTGCATTTCAACACGTTTACTTTTTCTGTGCCTCTTCACCTTTTGGAAAAGCCAAAGTAGACTGCAGTTGTTTTAGCTCTTGTTCAAACTCCTAAATGGATTTTAGTTGATTCTAGATCAATATTAGAATCCCACTTTGCCACGCGGAGCTGATGTCAGCCTCCTCCCTGCATATTTCATCTGCAGCTAAACCTCCCCTCAAGCAAAAGGCCAAAATGGGCTTGAAAATGACGGAGCTGCTGTTTGCTTCCTGTTTACATGTCAGAAATTATCTGCTGGACTCCTCTTTTTTTCCCCAAGTTACAAAAGGCTGAATTTTATAAGTAGCTTCAGCCTGTGAAAACCAAATACATAGCTGCTGATTTCAAGCAAATCGGTGACAAATTGGTCACTTTATAGTTTTTTAAATCACTTGAGACAGAAAGCTGAAAAAACAGCTCCTTACACTGGTACTTGATTGTGTTTTAATGCGTCTCCCTTTTACAATCAGGCCTATCTTCACATGCAGAGTCGAAATAATGAGAAAGATGAAGAAAGCAGGTCTCAAGCTTGAAAACGTGCATGTGTAATATAATTTATGTGCTGTTGTTTTAGTTCCTGTGCGTTCGTTGGCTTCGATCTTTGTTTTTTACACGACGCTTTAACTTCTGCTGTGTTCTTGCATTTGAATGACCATGATTTCATGTTCTCCATTTTTTTGCTTGTGATCGGTTATATCTGTTTTTAAAGTATGTTAAGTAACTTATTTCACTTGTAAAAACATGTCGATATTTATTATCATTGTACATATTTCCTTATTTTTCATATGTGTACATATACACAAATAAAAATAGAAATATGCTAAATGTGTTTGAGTTGTTTAATAATTATGATGGAAAGATCAAGTAATCAGGTAGAGGAATTCATCCAAGAACATTACTTAAATTTGTGTTCTTGCAATTCGAAAAACATAAAATTGACAAAACCTTTGAAAATCAATAAGAGTTGGTGCATCTCTAGAAAACGGGCTTCATGAAAAATAAGTCAAATCTGTTTAATTCTAAAAGCACATATTTAGGTTTAAACTGGTAGGTTTTTTAATCTGAGGTCTTACAACAGACAGCAGTAGGATGTTGAGTAAAAACAATATTTACTGGTGCGAACCTGCGTTGGTGAATCTGGAAACAAAGGCCAGGGAAGGACATGCTAGACACCCAGACTCTGCAGATGTCATGTTACAGTCTGTTCAAAGATAAAATAGTTTTAAAAAGAACAACACCTGACTGATGACTGCATGTTTCAAACCAAATGAACCGCGATCAAAAACAAAACTGGCAGAGTTTAAATTATCCAGTGTGTTTTTCGCTGTTACATATTGAACTTGTGGGTATTTCATCCTCGACTGTCTCGTTTCATGTTCCTACAGCGACTGCCGTGCTCCTCTCGACTTGTTCAGCCTTGGCTGGTGTAAACACGGGGAGGCACATGTTTCAGGTGGTCGGCAGTCCCAGCTGTGGAAGAAGGCTCTCTGTTGCATCTGATCTCAGTTTACACAGCTGCACAGCAGACACTCCCAGACCTCACAAAAGGAGGAGTTGTGTGTGTTGGGGGGGGGGGGGGGGGGCTGAGATTTGCAACAGTTCACCCACCTGTTACAGATTATGCATTTGTAGGGGCTCACAGGGATTTTATTGCTAAAAACATAACATTGTAAATCATAATAACGATTAATAAATGTTCAGGGAACATTGTTGCATTTTTCAAACAAAATCAGTTGAACATCAAAGCTTTTATTTTTTATCCATCACCACTTCAGTCAAAAACAAAGGAAAGATTGGCACGAGTCATTAATGAATACACTGAGGCGGTTTCATGGGCCGGGCCAAGTTTTCTCAATGATGTAATTAGTCAGGCTGAAAAAGAGTAGCTAGGGCAAGCCAAGCATAAGTGTAGTGTTTTTCTTATTGTCAAATTGTCGTGTTCCAAATTCGCTGATACATTTCAAATAGACACAAAAGAGCCTGAGTAAATAAAAGCTGCAAGTTGTTCTTTGTTCCTGAATTTCTAGACCGAGGTACTGTTTGTTGCTTTTTTAGATTTTTTTAGCCTGGAAAACATGTTAGCTTTAACCTTTGTTGTTCTTCTTAACAACGTTCTAACTCAGTAAAGCTCCACTGTCTGGCCAAAAAAAAAAGACACCTCCTGGATTTAACTACACGTATAGGTACGAGCCTCCCATTGGATCGTTACTAATCTTTCAGCTGGTGACAAGTTATTTAACCTAACTGCTGCAATGAGTTGCTTCTCGTTTCTGAAAGGTGTGGCTCACTGAAAAATCAGTTTCTAATGATTACTTCTGATTATAATCACTGACTTTCATGCAGGATCAACATGAAAATAGTCTCCTACACCGATCCCCTGCATTAGCTTCTGATAGACAGTGAAGCTCTAGTCATTCACTGCCACTTAACATTCATTGACTCATCCATTGAGTGTGTCATGACTCGAGGCAAGTGCCTAACCCAAGACATGCAGAATCATCACACGTAGTCCAAAGCAGTAAAGTAAAATGTCTTTATTATAAAACGGGAACTGAAACCGCACAGGGAAGTCCTGTGGGATGAGCAATACGGCTCGAGTCTCTGAAGTGCTCAGGTTAATGAGGAGATGAGAGGAAGCCGGGAAGGGCGCTGGGCAGAGGGTGAGAGGTCCAGGAGAGGCGAGGTAGCAGAGGGAAGCCAAACAGGAGCAGCAGAGGAGGATGGGATGTGGTGAGTATTATCCAGGGAACGTAGACAGCGAATGAGTAGATGAGGAGAGGATCCTGAGTGGAACAAAAACCAGGCGTGAGGGATAATCCAAATTGTAATCCAAAACACAATCCGAGGTCATAAATCCAATGGTCAAACACGAGTCAAAACACGAATGAACTAGATCAAGGTCAACGGCTGGTGCTACCTAAACTGGTGCAATCATCCGGCAAAGTGATGTGTCTCCATCCTCCTTTTGAACCCACGTCCCTGACTGGAAAATCTCCTGCAGCTGCCACTCCCCCTGCTCCTCACCTGTGGAGAATTAGCTCAGAGTCTGGTGAGAGGAGATGGTCTGACTCACCTCTGCCCAAGAACATGACAGAGTGTCCAGGAAACAGCAGAGAACATTTAGACAAGTAGAAGCTAATTGTTAGCATTAGCAACTCCACGACACAGAAAAGCTCCCCCAGGCTTGTGATATTTGTGGAGATAAAACATCAACATTGCAAGTGAGTGGAAGTTGTGTTGCTGCTATCCAATCCAATCCAAGACGTCCAAATATCAGAAAATGGGACTCCAAATCCTGCTGTCTGCTGCCATTCTCTGCAGCAGCAGACTTGTGTCAGCGCGTGCCGGTGAATGAAGTGGTGGCAAGGATCCATATGCGGGTGAGGGAAGCAGGTAAGCAGGCACACAGGAACGATTAAAGGTTTTAATAGGGAACACGCCAACATAGAAACAATGATCCAACAAGAGACACAGAACTGAAGGGGTTTAAATACAAGAGGGCTGGGAGCTTGGGTGATTGGGAAACGAGAGGCAGGTGGGAGCAATTAACATGGACACAGGACTGAACCAAAAGGGGAGACAGGACAGGGTGTGACAACTTGTGCTAATCCAAGCAATTCTAGGCTTTTTTTTGCACCAAGTACAGCTTGCAAGGCATTCATTTTGACCAGAGAACTCCAAATGTTCAAACAAAGGTGCAAACAGAACAAGTTTCCTACACCTTTAAACAACCATGTAAGACAAATCTGGTGGTGGTGGAAAAGATGTTAGTCTGTGTGAGAGGGGTCAGATCATTGGCATCAAGCAGAGAAAACATCTAAGGAGATGCAGAAATAACTACCACTGGGTTAAGAACTGTCCAACGCATTAATAAACATCTTTGGGATGTGCTGGAGAAGGCTTTGTGCAACGGTCAGACTCTACCATCATCAGGACAAGATCTTGGTGAAGCATTAATGCAACACTGGATGGAGATAAATCTGGTGACATTGCAGAAGCTGTTAAAAAAGATGCTACTGCAAATGTGTGGTGTAATCAAAGCTAAAAGTGGTCCAACGAAATATTAGTGTGTGTGACCTTTTCCGTGCTGACCTTTTTTCTTGGCCGGGCAGTATATGATGTCTGTACTAGTGGTTGTTTACATGAAGCTTTACAAGGAGGTGTTGCCATATTCCAAACAAGAATTTGTCTAATAATTTTGAGCCAACTACAACGCCTAAAGCTGCCAGTCAAGAGAGAGATTATTTAATTTCAGCAGCTCAGTCTTCACTGTCAGAGTCTGTTGTTAATCAAATAATAAAAACTATCTAAAAGCTTCCCGAATAATCACTGTATGGATTTTCTGATTAATTTATTAATTTTTCATGTTGTTCTTTTACAGATAGAAGTTAAGTGTTGCTTCAGGAGTAAATAACTGCAGGTAAAATTATCCTCTGCTGTGTTTTTGTTGATAATGTTCAGATCAGCTGATTGTTGGTCTGACACACCATGGTGTGCGCTGAGAGAGAGAGAGAGAGAGAGAGAGAGAGAGAGAGAGAGAGAGAGAGAGAGAGAGAGAGAGAGAGAGAGAGAGAGAGAGAGAGAGAGAGAGAGAGAGGAGAGAGGGGGAGTGATAGTGATAGTGAGAGAGACAGAGAGAGTGAGTGAGTGAGTGAGTGAGTGAGTGAGTGAGTGAGTGAGTGAGTGAGTGAGTGAGTGAGTGAGTGAGTGAGTGAGTGAGTGAGTGAGTGAGAGTGAGAGAGAAAGTGGGTGAGTGATAGTGAGAGCAACAGAGAGAGTGAGTGAGTGAGTGAGTGAGTGAGTGAGTGAGTGAGTGAGTGAGTGAGTGAGTGAGTGAGTGAGTGAGTGAGTGAGTGAGTGAGTGAGAGGGAGAGAGAGAGTGATAGTGATAGTGAGAGAGACAGAGAGAGTGAGTGAGTGAGTGAGTTGGGGGGGGGGGGCTGCACTGGGAGCAGGAGTGCAGGACCACGGACAAGGATAGAGGAATCCTGAGCTTCCAGCCCTCCTCCTCCCTCATGCCCGCTCAGCTGCTCATAATTCCATCATCATCGCCTGAGAGCATGTAAGAGGAGGCTGCCAGGAGCACGAGAGGGGAGAGCACAGATCAATGGTGTTGCTTCTCTTCTCATTGCAGCTTGTCTAGCAGAACTTGAATGTTTAGAGAAACTAGTTGTAAATCATTTGTGCAGAGGAACTAGTGTGTTGATAACAGCTGAGTTCAAGTCTGTGTGTTTTAGCATAGCCAGAGAAGGCTTTGTTTTGAATTTAGGTTAAGTAGTAACCTTGAGCCTAATTTGAAGTTGTATGAAAAGCCCTTAGTTTTGTCTTTTCGATGAACAGCCTTATGCCCTGTTTCAGTTATAGCCTAGAGTGTTTGTTGTTGAACCGCCTCGTGTTTCGTTTATTTCTTCTTAATTAGTGGTCTTGAGATTATTTTTCCTTATTTGTTAATTTATGGAGTAGCCCTGAGAATTTTGGTTTTACGGTAGCTCCTTTTGTTTGTTTGGATATAAAGAGCTCGAGTTTGGGTTTTGTTCAATAAAAGTTTGTTCCCTTTACCAGTCTGCACACGGCTCCTTGTGCTACGAGGTCCATTTTAAACCTGCCAGTTGTAACAGAGAGAAACAAAAGGTAAGTTAAAGTCCCACTAGTCACACACACTGGTGTGTGGTGAAATTTGTTTTCCACTTTTGACCCATCTCCTGGAGGAGCGGTGAGCTGCAGACATGGTTGCGCTCCGAAACCATTTTGTGGTTTAATCCCAGATCCAACCCCTCAATGCTGGGTTTCAAGCGAAGAGGCATTGGGTCCCATTTCTAAATGACCCAACGGTGGATTTGAACCCACAATCTCCCAGGCTCAGGATGGACACTCGTACCATTATGCCACTGAGCTGGAAAGAGAAGAGCTACTTTCAGACCAGACCCTTATAATAACGAGACAAACAGCTGACTTTGTGGAGAAAACTGGGTTCCTACTAAATCACAGGAGATGTCAAAACATTTGGAAGCTTATATGTTATTCATGTGTTGGACAGAAAAAAAAGAATATTTTATATTGCTCCTCGCAAGATAAAAATCACGAGGCACTTCACAAGAACAAAAAAATTAAAATATAAAAAGATTTTAAAAAATAATTAAAAATTTGTTTTAAATGAGGAAAAAGTGATTAAAAAATGTAAGGAAAGAAAGAGCAAAAATTAATAGGAAAGAAGGAATTTATTGGATCCCAGGAAAGAATAGGTAGAGCAGAATAATGAGAGGGTGGTGAAGGTCACATCAAAACCAGCCTGAACAGGTGAGATTTCTGCTGCTTTTAAAAGGAGACCACTGAGTCCACTGATCTCAGGCTCAGGGGGAGAGAGGTCCAGAGTCTGGGGGCCACAGCAGCAAATGATCTGTCACCTTTGGTCTTTAGCCTGGTGCTGCACAACCAGTAGGCTTTGATCACTGGACCTCAGGGACCTGCTGGGGGTGTAGGGACTAAGAAGATCACCAATGTAAGATGGTGCTTGTCCATGTAAGGCCCTATAGACCAGAACCAGGATCTTGAAATAAACCCTGAAGTTGACTGGCAGCCAGTGAAGCTGGAGGAGAAGCGGGGTGATGTGGGTGTGTTTGGAGGACTTGGTCAGAAGCCGAGCACAGGCATTCTGAACCACCTACTGAAAGGCAATTTAAAGGAATGGACGATTTTAGGCCACATCGCCCAATCCTAATTGTGAGGTGTTCAAATACTTATGTACAGCAGTGCAATAAAAATTAATTCTTTACAAGTCATACAATGTGATTTCCAGATTTTTTCTAAATACTGTCTCTCAGTGGGAATGTAGAAGAAGAAACAATCTTTTACATAGGACCTCTCAAGATAAAAATCATGAAGCCCTTACCTACAATGTGAACTTCTGACCCCAACCTACAGAATCCCAGCGTATTCAAATGCTTATGTTCCTTACTGTAAATGTTTGCAAATTTTAAAACTGGAGTTTGAAAAACACTTTTGAAGTGAACGATGAAGGGATCAGGATCCCGTTCTTAGGAACAGGACATTCACCATTATTGGATGAGGTTTTCCAGGATTGTACCTTTCAAAGGCAATTATTGACTGAACGATTAATTTATTGATTGCCATCAAAATGTAAAGAGAGTTTGGTGCAAAAAGGCGAAAAAAATGCTCCAGAAAAACATCTGATTGCACCTATAAAAAAGACAAATGAATCTAATTTGGCTGCCACAATTCTTTTCCCAGTTCGTTGTCAAAATAATTTCATTGTTAAAATTTTAATTTATGGTAAGTGTCCATGTTTATATTCCCTGAGAATGTATTTAGTTTATAATAATAATATGAAGAAGAAGAAGAAGAAGAAGAAGAAGAAGAAGAAGAAGAAGAAGAAGAAGAAGAAGAAGAAGAAGAAGAAGAAGAAGAAGAAGAAAAGTGTCCTTCAGGATACGTTTCCATCTTAAGTCTTCTGTGTAGCTGTGGTGGTCGAGGAGACGATTGTTCTTCATGACATCAGTTAGGTGCCTGCTGGTATGGTGATGCTCATGACATGCTGCCATAACCTGGAGTGTCCCAGCGAAATGAAGTACTCCCATGGGTTCTTGCAGAGGGTCATTATGAAGATCAAACCTGGACAGTGCTCAGCCAGGGTTCATCGACTCAGAAACAAACTGCTGAGACACTGTTTATGGACTGATGATGATTCTGAAGTTTTAAGGAATAGAAAACTGTTTAAATGATGCTGTGGTTTCACTTTTTAATAATTTCCTTTTATTTGATACTGTTGTAAATTTGAATGAACTATTTTTGTTTAAATGTAGTAACATGATGAAAGCAACCAATTAATCAATTAGTTCAGTTAACATAAACTTTAAATTAGAATGGATGGACATAATTGTCTCCCAACTTATGTGTGTATTTAACAAGAGAAAACTTTTTCTATTGCTCATCTAACAGTTTGTTGTTTCAAATCACAGTAATGAATTCAAATTTATAGTCATTGATGTTAATTGTACATCTTGACATTTGGAGTTGAATGAAAGTGATTGGTAAAGTTAACATTAACTCATCACTGATAACTTTTTCAACACTTCAGTTGATACAGTGATGCAGGCCAAAAAAATTCACAAGAGCAGAAATGTGCTGCAGATAGATGCTAATGTGATTATACCAATAATTATAATCATTATATCATATATAAACCTAAATATCCATGTCCCCTGGATGCAGCTGGTTTCTCAACAACTGACAGGAAGTGGGGGCATAGAGGACTCTTTTATTAAACACCAAATCATCATGATAACTGAATTTGTTCTTTTAACTTAACCTGAATTTGAAATGCTCAATCAAAATCTGCATTAATAAAATAGAAATCAGTTTTGACGTCGATTCGCTGCAGTCAAGATCACGTGGTACCCTGTTTTTAGTGTGGATTGGTTTGTTCAAATTCAACAAGTTCCGGTCATTTTCTCAGCCGTGAAGGAAATACAAACTAGTTCTTCCGCCCATACCTAGCTTTGATGTACTTGATAGTCTCCGAACACCACTCGTGTTCTAGAATCAACACAGAACAATATAAAATAATACATAATTTTAAGTTTTCAATTATCACGTTTACGCGTGATTTTAATGTATCCGCGGAGGGATACAAGTGCCGCTCGCGTGTAGCGTGGAGGGTTATTTGAAATTCTTTTTTTTCTTTCGCTACACTTCTTTTTAAGACTTTTTTGTTTTTCCTCAAACTTTTAGGAAGAGTTTTATAACATTTTATACATGTTTTAACATAAATGTACAAGGTAAGAGTTCGACTCTCTGTCGTGTGCTTATTTTCTACCTATCTGTTTATGTTGTTAGCTAACTCGTGGAGTAAAGGCACAATGATGTAGCCTGACTGTAAACAACGGCTTTGGTCTTAATCATTATTTTACACTACACGACAGACTGGCGCTTTGCTGCATCATTTATGGTTTAGGTAAAGCACACCATGCAAACGCTAGAGTTTAGATTTGTTATCCCATTGTGGGTTGTCTGACTCACCTAGTTGTGTTAGCTTAAAGCTACATTGATGTTGCTTTTTGTACGTTTTTTTTTAAATATTTTTTTCCCCCAGAAAATGCTCAGTTAGTTTTGACGTTTTGTAAGTTATAATCCCCGAATTAGTGAAAAGTGTTAAACTAGTCAGGTAAGCTGATGCTTTTCAACGCTTCGATGATTTCGTGTTCATGTCAATACAGATGATGGCTACAGAAGAGTCGGTCACTACTGGTGCTGAGGAGGAATATCAGGAGAAAATGTCTCCCACAAAGGAGGATTCTGTGTTGAAAGAAACGCCCCAAAACTTCTCCGAGGTCACCCCAAATCAGTTTGGCATTTCTGTCAATAGTTTCATCCCATCATCTTCCTCCTCTTCATCAAAATATAAAGGTCAGTAGTCATGTCTCATTTTTGACCAACTCAAATATTTATTTATGATGATATGCTGTATACTGTGATAAAGTGTTTGCGATAAACATGAAGAAATGAGGGCTTAAATGACAAAAAAGAAGGTCCTTTGTGCCGGTGAGCATGTTTGGATGCCTGAAGTGACTACTAACTCAAAACATTAACTCAAGGAGCACAGTTAGTTTTGGGGTCACTTAAAAATATGTGATTCTGTGCACCGTTAAGATTTGAAGGAGTAAACGAGCATTTCAGTCTGAGTTCAAAACGGAATAAATCAGCATCCTCATCCTTAGCTATCTGACTTTGACTGCAGAAGTTGAATGTCAAATTTCTTTTGCTCAGGCAGCAAATTCTCATCAGCAAGCAGTTTTCTAGTTCTCTTGACTTCAGACAGAGGTGAACCTGGATTTCTGCATTCCTGTTTTCTATTCTGAGTTTAAACATCTGACAAGTGTTGTTTCAACTATCTGACCCTATTCCCCAGATAAATGTTTACCCCGGACCATTACCGTTTGTTTCAGCCATGGTTTGTTGTGTTTTCACCAAAATCTGAGCTATAGAATAAGTTAGGTAAATTAAAAGTCATTCACAAAAGGATGGCACTGGTCACAACAGTTTGTGTGTGTTTTAGTGTTTTGGCTGCCATCTAAACCAAGTATAGACGTCAGTGTTGATCTGAGGAACCATTAGCAGTCTGATTTATTGTGATTCAAACAGGGGTTTTGCCAGTGATAAATCACACGCCCTTATTGTGAAGTATTTTGTAATATATTGTGCAGTCCTACTGGTACTTTTCATTAAAGAATTTCTTACTTTTTAAGGTACCGACCGAATTCCATAGTACCGACTGAGCACCGATTCACGTCTTTTGAAACGGTGCCTCGTTTCGGTACCCGTCCTTCATAACGAGAACTTGCCTAGACAGCTGCGCAAGAGCGTTACGTCGTCGGTCACTGCGAGCCAGTTGTAAACAGAGCAGCATGGTAGAAAGAACGCACGCTAAAGCTTGGGTCCACATCACTAAATGTGATGGGTAACTGGGTGATGATGAAACCAGCGACAACAATCTAAGTGAGACATCCTCATCTTAATCTGCTCCGGTAGGTAAATAAAATGTTTAAGATACCGTTAGCTTGATTAGTTAGCTTCCGTTCCGCTAATGGTGCATTCGCTTTCTCCTCGGAACTCCGAATTTCCGACTAGAAGAACATGAACGCGCTCTAAAGTTTGACTTCACTTTACTAAATACGACGGGTGATTGGGTGAAGATGAAACCAGCGACAACGATCTAAGTGTGAGGCATCATCGTTTTAATCTGCTCCAGCAGCTAAATAAACTGAGATAACATTAGTTTGATATGTTAGCTTCCATTGCCACCATTGTTATCAGCTAATGGTGAGTTCGCTTTCTCCTCGGAAATTCTAACTTCCCAGTAGGAAAAATCAAATGAAAAAAGACGGCAAAAGGAATGAAGATTCACAGTAAATTTAGTTCGCAGTAAAGATGTTTGCTTCAGTTTAATTATCAGCTTATAAAACTACAAGGACGATGTTAAAATACAAACAGTAGTGTGTTGTTTATCGTGATATTTATCAAATATGGTTATATATTGAGAAAAATATATATTTAATTATAAAAGAGAATTAAAATATTAAGCACTCAAAAGTATCTAAAATTGGTACCGTTAGGTACCGGTATCGATTCCTAGGTACCGGGAATTAGTACCGAATCGATTCAAATGTCAAAGGTACCCATCCCTACTACCGACCTATCTCTCTCCTCCCTTTTCTGTCCAAAATTATTGAAATGGTGGCTTTCAAGCAGATCACAGAATACCTCTCACAAAACTGTCAGCTTGACCCTTACCAATCTGGGTTCAAAAAGGGCCACTCCACTGAAACTGCTCTGTTAGCAGTGACGGAATCCTTAAAAGAAGCTAGAGCGACAGGCAAATCCTCAGTCCTTATCCTGCTCGACTTATCGGCTGCATTTGACACTGTCAACCATGGCTTCCATTCGTCCACACTCTAGCATGGGCATTACAGAGAAAGCACACGCCTGGTTTGAATCATACCTCACAGGACGATCATTCAGTATATCTTGGCTTGGACAATCCTTTACCGTGCACCATCTTGCCACAGGAGTCCCCCAGGGCTCAGTACTAGGACCTCTTCTCTTTGCCATATACACCACCTCACTGGGTGAGATCATTCGATCACATGGCTTCTCCTACCACTGCTATGCACAGGGTGTCCGCGGGGTTTTAAAAAGTATTAAAAAGTGATAAATAAAAATAGTCAAATTTAAGGCCATTAAAAGTGTTAAATTTGGTCTCAGAGGTATTATTTTTTCCAAATTAGGTATTATTTTTTCCAAATTAGGTATTATTTTTTTCAGACTATCAGATGTCGTATTCTGAACATCGACATAGAAATATATTCCGAATGAAGTGTTTTGAACGATTATAAAAACAAAACAAGCCGATTATTTGCTCCTCCCACTTGCGCTGCCTTGAGTTGCAAATGAAGCGCTCCTCCCAGTGTTGCCAAGTTAACTTGGCGACTTTGACGCTATTTCTAACAGCTTCTCAGACCCGCTTCTTGACTTTTTAAATCTTAAAAGTACCTAGCGAACACCTCAGAAACATCTCTGGTAACCCTTAGCTACTTTCTGGATAACTATCGTCGACGTTTCCTGCAGGTTAGCTAAACTCCGCCTGCACTCCGGACGTTCTTTAGGACATTAGGAAAGGGAATGATGTAGTGATGTGTCATTCGCTAAAGAAACAGCTCTCGGAGCCGGTGTTCTGTCCAGTCGCCATACCTTGTCAGACTGGCATACCCGGATTACACAGTATGCCTGTCTGACAGATGTTGTCAGTCAGACAGGCATACTCTGTCAGATCGTCATACCTTTTTTTTTTTACAACGGTATGACATCCTGATGGGTGGTTTTACCTGTCAGATCGTCATACCTTTTTTTTTACAACGGTATGACATCCTGATGGGTGGTTTTACCTGTCAGATCGTCATACCTTTTTTTTTTTTACAACGGTATGACATCCTGATGGGTGGTTTTACCTGTCAGATCGTCATACCTTTTTTTTTTTACAACGGTATGACATCCTGATGGGTGGTTTTACCTGTCAGATCGTCATACTTTCTGTTTTTGACAACGGTATGACATCCTGATGGGTGGTTTTACCTGTCAGATCGTCATACTTTCTGTTTTTGACAACGGTATGACATCCTGATGGGTGGTTTTACCTGTCAGATCGTCATACTTTTTTTTTTTTTTACAACGGTATGACATCCTGATGGGTGGTTTTACCTGTCAGATCGTCATACCTTTTTTTTTACAACGGTATGACATCCTGATGGGTGGTTTTACCTGTCAGATCGTCATACCTTTTTTTTTTTTACAACGGTATGACATCCTGATGGGTGGTTTTACCTGTCAGATCGTCATACCTTTTTTTTTTTTACAACGGTATGACATCCTGATGGGTGGTTTTACTCGTCGGATCATCATACTTTCTGTTTTTGACAACGGTATGACATCCTGATGGGTGGTTTTACCTGTCAGATCGTCATACCTTTTTTTTTTTTTTACATTGGTATGACATCCTGATGGGTGGTTTTACCTGTCAGATCGTCATACTTTCTGTTTTTGACAACGGTATGACATCCTGATGGGTGGTTTTACCTGTCAGATCGTCATACTTTCTGTTTTTGACAACGGTATGACATCCTGATGGGTGGTTTTACCTGTCAGATCATCATACTTTCTGTTTTTGACAACGGTATGACATCCTGATGGGTGGTTTTACCTGTCAGATCGTCATACCTTTTTTTTTTTTTTACATTGGTATGACATCCTGATGGGTGGTTTTACCTGTCAGATCGTCATACTTTCTGTTTTTGACAACGGTATGACATCCTGATGGGTGGTTTTACCTGTCAGATCGTCATACTTTCTGTTTTTGACAACGGTATGACATCCTGATGGGTGGTTTTACCTGTCAGATCGTCATACTTTCTGTTTTTGACAACGGTATGACATCCTGATGGGTGGTTTTACCTGTCAGATCGTCATACTTTCTGTTTTTGACAACGGTATGACATCCTGATGGGTGGTTTTACCTGTCAGATCGTCACACCTTTTTTTTTTTTTACAACGGTATGACATCCTGATGGGTGGTTTTACTCGTCGGATCATCATACTTTCTGTTTTTGACAACAGTATGACATCCTCGATGCTCAATGCCTTTTTTTTACAATTAGGTGAAAATAAATTTGCGATACACATTCATCAGTACATTTTTTTTTCCAATGAAGCTCACCAAGTTGGTGCAATGGCAAAAGAAAGCAGAATAGTTGATTCACTGATTCCTGTTATAAAGAGCAGTCTCCATTTGAATAAAAAACTGAACACGAAGAACTTAAGTTATAAGTCACACACACACACACACACACACACACACACACACACACACACTTTTTACATTTGAAAAGGTCAACAAAATGGGTGGCACACTCTTTGTGAGTCCATCTTGGACAGAAGTCGCACTGTATCTATGAGGCAGAATGGAAAAAAATTAGTTATAAGTTCATGTTTAAAGCATTGGAAGTATAAAATTCTATGGCTGTGTTTTTACCATTTCAATGACGTCTTTGCATGTGTCATAGTGCAACATGTTGCATGAAACACAGTAGTCTTCCACCTTATCTGTAATATAAAGATAGACAAATGAGAATTTCTTTGAACACAATCAGACTAAATATAGCTAGGTAAATGTAGCAGGATGGTCTCACCCACACCTGATTTCAATGAATTGTCTAATTATCAGCAAAGGGTATTGTGTTTGCCCCTTGGCACATGCTCCTTCTTGCTGCCACTGCTTCCAGGTCACCCATGACTGTGCTGAGTCTTCATGTCTGTTTTCACTGACTACATGAAGGGCAAGTTGTTCATGCCTCTGG